GAGACAGGACTCGATCTAGGTGAGGACTCGATCCAGGTGAGTGTGACCATGGATGGAGACAGGACTCGATCCAGGTGAGTGTGACCATGGATGGAGACAGGACTCGATCCAGGTGAGTGTGACCATGGATGGAGACAGGACTCGATCTAGGTGAGGACTCGATCTAGGTGAGTGTGACTGTGGATGGAGACAGGACTCGATCCAAGTGAGTGTGACCGTGGATGGAGACAGGACTCGATCCAGGTGAGTGTGACCATGAATGGAGACAGGACTCGATCCAGGTGAGTGTGACCATGGATGGAGACAGGACTCGATCCAGGTGAGTGTGACCATGGATGGAGACAGGACTCGATCTAGGTGAGGACTCGATCTAGGTGAGTGTGACCATGGATGGAGACAGGACTCGATCCAGGTGAGGACTCGATCCAGGTGAGTGTGACTGTGGATGGAGACAGGACTCGATCCAAGTGAGTGTGACCATGGATGGAGACAGGACTCGATCCAGGTGAGTGTGACCGTGGATGGAGACAGGACTCGATCCAGGTGAGTGTGACCATGGATGGAGACAGGACTCGATCCAGGTGAGTGTGACCATGGATGGAGACAGGACTCGATCTAGGTGAGGACTCGATCTAGGTGAGTGTGACTGTGGATGGAGACAGGACTCGATCCAAGTGAGTGTGACCGTGGATGGAGACAGGACTCGATCCAGGTGAGTGTGACCGTGGATGGAGACAGGACTCGATCCAAGTGAGTGTGACCGTGGATGGAGACAGGACTCAATCCAGGTGAGTGTGACCGTGGATGGAGACAGGACTCGATCCAAGTGAGTGTGACCATGGATGGAGACAGGACTCGATCCAGGTGAGTGTGACCATGAATGGAGACAGGACTCGATCCAGGTGAGTGTGACCATGGATGGAGACAGGACTCGATCCAGGTGAGTGTGACCATGGATGGAGACAGGACTCGATCTAGGTGAGGACTCGATCCAGGTGAGTGTGACTGTGGATGGAGACAGGACTCGATCCAAGTGAGTGTGACCATGGATGGAGACAGGACTCGATCCAGGTGAGTGTGACCGTGGATGGAGACAGGACTCGATCCAGGTGAGTGTGACCATGGATGGAGACAGGACTCGATCCAGGTGAGGACTCGATCCAGGTGAGTGTGACTGTGGATGGAGACAGGACTCGATCCAAGTGAGTGTGACCATGGATGGAGACAGGACTCGATCCAGGTGAGTGTGACCGTGGATGGAGACAGGACTCGATCCAGGTGAGTGTGACCGTGGATGGAGACAGGACTCGATCCAGGTGAGTGTGACTGTGGATGGAGACAGGACTCGATCCAGGTGAGTGTGACCATGGATGGAGACAGGACTCGATCCAGGTGAGTGTGACTGTGGATGGAGACAGGACTCGATCCAAGTGAGTGTGACCATGGATGGAGACAGGACTCGATCCAGGTGAGTGTGACCGTGGATGGAGACAGGACTCGATCCAGGTGAGTGTGACCATGGATGGAGACAGGACTCGATCCAGGTGAGTGTGACCGTGGATGGAGACAGGACTCGATCCAGGTGAGTGTGACCATGGATGGAGACAGGACTCGATCCAGGTGAGTGTGACCGTGGATGGAGACAGGACTCGATCCAGGTGAGTGTGACCATGGATGGAGACAGGACTCGATCTAGGTGAGGACTCGATCCAGGTGAGTGTGACTGTGGATGGAGACAGGACTCGATCCAAGTGAGTGTGACCATGGATGGAGACAGGACTCGATCCAGGTGAGGACTCGATCCAGGTGAGTGTGACTGTGGATGGAGACAGGACTCGATCCAAGTGAGTGTGACCATGGATGGAGACAGGACTCGATCCAGGTGAGTGTGACCATGGATGGAGACAGGACTCGATCCAGGTGAGTGTGACCATGGATGGAGACAGGACTCGATCTAGGTGAGGACTCGATCTAGGTGAGTGTGACTGTGGATGGAGACAGGACTCGATCCAAGTGAGTGTGACCGTGGATGGAGACAGGACTCGATCCAGGTGAGTGTGACCATTAATGGAGACAGGACTCGATCCAGGTGAGTGTGACCATGGATGGAGACAGGACTCGATCCAGGTGAGTGTGACCATGGATGGAGACAGGACTCGATCTAGGTGAGGACTCGATCTAGGTGAGTGTGACCATGGATGGAGACAGGACTCGATCCAGGTGAGGACTCGATCCAGGTGAGTGTGACTGTGGATGGAGACAGGACTCGATCCAAGTGAGTGTGACCATGGATGGAGACAGGACTCGATCCAGGTGAGTGTGACCGTGGATGGAGACAGGACTCGATCCAGGTGAGTGTGACCATGGATGGAGACAGGACTCGATCCAGGTGAGTGTGACCATGGATGGAGACAGGACTCGATCTAGGTGAGGACTCGATCTAGGTGAGTGTGACTGTGGATGGAGACAGGACTCGATCCAAGTGAGTGTGACCGTGGATGGAGACAGGACTCGATCCAGGTGAGTGTGACCGTGGATGGAGACAGGACTCGATCCAAGTGAGTGTGACCGTGGATGGAGACCGGACTCAATCCAGGTGAGTGTGACCGTGGATGGAGACAGGACTCGATCCAAGTGAGTGTGACCATGGATGGAGACAGGACTCGATCCAGGTGAGTGTGACCATGAATGGAGACAGGACTCGATCCAGGTGAGTGTGACCATGGATGGAGACAGGACTCGATCCAGGTGAGTGTGACCATGGATGGAGACAGGACTCGATCTAGGTGAGGACTCGATCCAGGTGAGTGTGACTGTGGATGGAGACAGGACTCGATCCAAGTGAGTGTGACCATGGATGGAGACAGGACTCGATCCAGGTGAGTGTGACCGTGGATGGAGACAGGACTCGATCCAGGTGAGTGTGACCATGGATGGAGACAGGACTCGATCCAGGTGAGGACTCGATCCAGGTGAGTGTGACCATGGATGGAGACAGGACTCGATCCAAGTGAGTGTGACCATGGATGGAGACAGGACTCGATCCAGGTGAGTGTGACTGTGGATGGAGACAGGACTCGATCCAGGTGAGTGTGACCATGGATGGAGACAGGACTCGATCCAGGTGAGTGTGACCATGGATGGAGACAGGACTCGATCTAGGTGAGGACTCGATCCAGGTGAGTGTGACCATGGATGGAGACAGGACTCGATCTAGGTGAGGACTCGATCTAGGTGAGTGTGACTGTGGATGGAGACAGGACTCGATCCAAGTGAGTGTGACCGTGGATGGAGACAGGACTCGATCCAGGTGAGTGTGACCATGAATGGAGACAGGACTCGATCCAGGTGAGTGTGACCATGGATGGAGACAGGACTCGATCCAGGTGAGTGTGACCATGGATGGAGACAGGACTCGATCTAGGTGAGGACTCGATCCAGGTGAGTGTGACTGTGGATGGAGACAGGACTCGATCCAAGTGAGTGTGACCATGGATGGAGACAGGACTCGATCCACCTGAGTGTGACCGTGGATGGAGACAGGACTCGATCCAGGTGAGTGTGACCATGGATGGAGACAGGACTCGATCCAGGTGAGTGTGACCATGGATGGAGACAGGACTCGATCCAGGTGAGTGTGACCATGGATGGAGACAGGACTCGATCCAGGTGAGTGTGACCGTGGATGGAGACAGGACTCGATCCAGGTGAGTGTGACCATGGATGGAGACAGGACTCGATCCAGGTGAGTGTGACCATGGATGGAGACAGGACTCGATCCAAGTGAGTGTGACCATGGATGGAGACAGGACTCGATCCAGGTGAGTGTGACTGTGGATGGAGACAGGACTCGATCCAGGTGAGTGTGACCATGGATGGAGACAGGACTCGATCCAGGTGAGTGTGACCATGGATGGAGACAGGACTCGATCCAGGTGAGTGTGACCATGGATGGAGACAGGACTCGATCCAAGTGAGTGTGACCATGGATGGAGACAGGACTCGATCCAGGTGAGTGTGACCGTGGATGGAGACAGGACTCGATCCAGGTGAGTGTGACCATGGATGGAGACAGGACTCGATCTAGGTGAGGACTCGATCCAGGTGAGTGTGACCATGGATGGAGACAGGACTCGATCCAGGTGAGTGTGACCATGAATGGAGACAGGACTCGATCCAGGTGAGTGTGACCATGGATGGAGACAGGACTCGATCCAGGTGAGTGTGACCATGGATGGAGACAGGACTCGATCTAGGTGAGGACTCGATCCAGGTGAGTGTGACTGTGGATGGAGACAGGACTCGATCCAGGTGAGTGTGACCATGAATGGAGACAGGACTCGATCCAGGTGAGTGTGACCATGGATGGAGACAGGACTCGATCCAGGTGAGTGTGACTGTGGATGGAGACAGGACTCGATCCAAGTGAGTGTGACCATGGATGGAGACAGGACTCGATCCAGGTGAGTGTGACCATGGATGGAGACAGGACTTGATCTAGGTGAGGACTCGATCCAGGTGAGTGTGACTGTGGATGGAGACAGGACTCGATCCAAGTGAGTGTGACCATGGATGGAGACAGGACTCGATCCAGGTGAGTGTGACCATGGATGGAGACAGGACTCGATCCAAGTGAGTGTGACCGTGGATGGAGACAGGACTCGATCCAGGTGAGTGTGACCGTGGATGGAGACAGGACTCGATCCAGGTGAGTGTGACCATGGATGGAGACAGGACTCGATCCAAGTGAGTGTGACCGTGGATGGAGACAGGACTCGATCCAGGTGAGTGTGACCGTGGATGGAGACAGGACTCGATCCAGGTGAGTGTCATCATTGATGGAGACAGGACTCGATCCAGGTGAGTGTGACCATGGATGGAGACAGGACTCGATCCAGGTGAGTGTGACCGTGGATGGAGACAGGACTCGATCCAGGTGAGTGTCATCATTGATGGAGATAGGAATGAGGCTGCTGACAAGCTATGTATCCTCTCTCCAGATGTCTGGCCATGCAGGAAGATGTGGGGAGGACCTCACAGGAAATATATTCTTCTACAACATCCCATTACCCAAGACAGAATGGCTTCTGAGATCAAATGTGTCTAAACTGAAGGGCCAGTTTCCTCTAAGCCTTTCCTTGGTTCTCAGACGCATGCTGTTAGTTGCCAAGGCAGATGATAAGGATGATGCCAAAGCCAAGGTATTAATACATGTTTCAGAGGGTCTAACTCACCTCAGGAAATAGGACCATTCCCCTCTATTGTGTGATATTGCCTGAGCGCCATAGGCTGCAGGGAAGAAAATGACAGTGTGCCTTAAGTAAACCCACTGTGATGTTTGATTCTACGCCACAGAACCCTTATTCAGCACAAAAGCAACCTTGTAAGCTTCGTGCTTCCAAACATATGGAAAATTTAGCCCTCGACTTTACTGCTGTAATTACTCCTGGGCTCTACATATATTAGACAAGAGACATTATTTTTCTGTAAATATATCTGGTCTGAAATATTTTAAAAGTCAAATTTCAAAGAAGTAATTAATGGTTTAAAAATGTACATAATACTGAAATGTTTATAATTCTTGGTCTACATTTTTATACCTTATGTTTACATACATATAATATAAAACATTATGTAATATCTTTAATAAGTATATTTTAATAATATAATAAATATAGTTTTAATAATAATTTATTATAATAAATATACATTTTAATAAATTTGAAAGCAATATGGAATGCCTAATTTAAAGTGTAAAAATTCTTCATACCTTATACATGGTACATACATATGTGGACCACCATGTTTTATAATAATAACTTCTAATGGTCCCCTGGGTGTTGCATCTGAAGACAGTGCAGAGTCTGCCCCATGTCTAACTTCATGTTTTGATCTACATCTGTGTAGGCATTGTCAGTTCTCCAATGTTCACTAATGTCCTTCAAGCAACCAAATATCAAGTGCATGTTGAAATTTTATTTTATATATTCTTTGCAATTCTTGGTCACAGAGGTAAGACTTATACCTATTTTTGCCAAATCTAAGTGTTAATTTTTGCCTCTATTGTACCGAAATTTCCTTTGTTAATGACTTATTTGTTTGATATTTCTGAGATCTAAAGACAGGTTAGCTTGTTGGAACTGGTTTCCAGGGATCAAGAGTACCTTACCACTGGATATTCTGGGCTTGTCCCCCATTTACATTACCATGAACCCTCCAAGTTTGTTTTAGTGAGCTTGCTGGTGAAAGGTTTATTTCACAAGTTGTGTGTTCCAGCCGACAACAAAGGTAAGCAGAGATGCCTTTTCCACACTCCTACTCATTAAACTGTGCTTGTGCATGCACGCCCCCCACACACCATAGGCACACCATCATACTACACACATAGCATACACACATACACCCCACATGCTCATACACACCACATACACACCACACGCCACATGCTTATACAGTCATCAGTCAGTTCAGTCGCTCAGTCATGTCCAACTCTTTGCGACCCTCAGAACCGCAGCATGCCAGGCCTTCCTGTCCATCACCAACTCCCGCAGTCCACCCAAACCCATGTCCATTGAGTCAGTGATGCTTTCCAACCATCTCATACTCTGTCATCCCCTTCTCCTCCTGCCCAGCATCAGGGTCTTTTCCAATAAGTCAGCTCTTCACATCAGGTGGCCAAAGTATTAGAGTTTCAGTTTCAGCATCAGTCCTTCCAATGAATACCCAGGACTGATCTCCTTCAGGATGGACTGGTTGGATCTTCTTGCAGTTCAAGGGACTCACAAGAGTCTTCTACAACACCACAGTTCAAAAGCATCAATTCTTTGGCACTCAGATTTCTTTATAGTCCAACTCTCACATCCGTACGTGACCACTGGAAAAACCATAGCCTTGACTAAACGGACCTTTGTTGACAAAGTAATGTCTCTGCTTTTTAATATGCTGTCTAGGTTGGTCGTAACTTTCCTTCCAAGGAGTAAGTGTCTTTTAATTTTATGGCTGCAATCACCATCTACAGTGATTTTGGAGCCCAGAGAAGTAAAGTCAGCCACTATTTCCACTGTTTCCCCATCTATTTACCATGAAGTGATGGGACCGGATGCCATGGTCTTAGTTTTCTGAATGTTGAGCTTTAAGCCAACTTTTTCACTCTCCTCTTTCACTTTCATCAAGAGGCTCTTTAGTTCTTCTTCACTTCCTGTCATAAGGGTGGTGTCATCTGCACAGCTGAGGTTATTGATATTTCTCCTGGCAATCTTGATTCCAGCTTGTGCTTCCTCCAGCCCAGTGTTTCTCATGATGTACTCTGCATAGATGTTAAATAAGCAGGGTGACAATATACAGCCTTGACGTACTCCTTTTCCTGTTTGGAACCAGTCTGTTGTTCCATGTCCAGTTCTAATTGTTGCTTCCTGACCTGCATACAGGTTTCTCAAGAGGCAGGTTGGGTGGCCTGGTATTCCCATCTTTTCCAGAATTTTCCACAGTTTGTGGTGATCCACACAGTCAAAGGCTTTGGCATAGTCAATAAAGCAGAAATAGATGTTTTTCTGGAACTCTCTTGCTTTTTTGATGATCCCGCAGATATTGGCAATATTATCTCTGGTTCCTCTGCCTTTTTAAAAATCAGCTTGAACATCTGGAGTTCACAGTTCATGTATTGCTGAAGCCTGGCTTGAAGAATTTTGAGCATTACTTTACTAGTGTGTGAGATGAGTGCAATTGTGCGGTAGTTTGAGCATTCTTTGGGATTGCCTTTCTTAGGGATTGGAATGAAAACTGACCTTTTCCAGTCCTGTGGCCACTGCTGAGTTTTCCAAATTTGCTGGCATATTGAGTGCAGCACTTTCACAGCATCATCTTTCAGGATCTGAAATAGATCAACTGGAATTCCATCACCTCCACTAGCTTTGTTCGTAGTGATGCTTTCTAAGGCCCACTTGACTTCACATTCCAGGATGTCTGGCTCTAGGTGAGTGATCACACCATCATGATTATCTGATTATATGGAGATATATCGTGATTATTTGGAGAAGCTCTATACTGTCATTCACAGGTACATATTACACACAAACACACCACACAGACACACACACACCACACATGCTCATACATACCACATACACACCACACACCAAATGCATATACTGTCATACACAGATACATATCACACACAGACACACCACACATAGAGATACTGCACACACACCCCACACACACAGCACACACACACACACACACCCCACGTACACACATACACACTACACACATATCACACATCACAGCACACTCACACACATGCACAGTATGTGTGCTTATGTCACCCGTGCTTTCCCCAGTTCTGCGTCTTCTTTGGATGGTATACATTTTCTAACTGCTTTTGCTCTTAATGTATTTTGAACATTTTCCATATTTTATATTATTATATAATTTATAAAAACTATCAATATGCATGTTAATTTGTAATGTAATATTCTTAATGACCATTTGATATACCTTAAAATGTTTAATTAACCCTTAGAATAATAAATGTTATTGTACTGAAATCACAGGGCATTCTTAACATATATCCACTTGAAATAAAGTGCAGTAATATATGTAAAATCCTGAATTTTGTCCACTTTGTATCTGGTCATTGATGTGAAAAATAGACCCTTTTGTGTTGTCTGCATATTCAGGGCCTGCTGATTAACTGTGTCATAGGAAACACGAAGTTAACAGTTCAAGGTTAGAAACAAACTGTAGGAGTGAGTTGGCATCTCAAGGTTGTAATCTGTACTGATTTTTTTTTAACATTATATATATGTTTTTCTCTTTTTGATAAGCATAACATAATGCCACCAGCCTGAAAGAGAAGCAGATTGATATGATCCACACTCAAATGCAGACAGTTGAAAACTGACATGCATAATTAATACTCCATTGTTCTTAATGTTTTTGGCAAATTACCACCTTTTGTTAAAATAATATAAAAATGATTAAAATGCTATTATTTAATATCCCTTAGAACTACTAATAGACCAAACCATGAAGCCTTTAATCCATAGTCATCTATATTTTTTCATGAAAGGATTGTAGAAAGTAGTCATCATTGGATTTTATAGATATTATATTCAGTGTATCACAATGTTGGGAAGCCCATGGCTCAGCAGTAAAGAACCTGCTGGCCAATACAGGAGATGCAGAAGATGTGGGTTCTATCCCTGGATTGGGAAGATCCCCTGGAGAAGGATCATCCTCCTGGCAACCCATTCTGCATTCTTGCCTGGAGAATCCCAGACAGAGGAGCCTGGTAGGCTGAAGTCCATAGCGTCACACAGAGTCAGACATTGACTGAAGCGACTCAGCATGCACGGACCACCTATGTTATGTGTCTCAGTATGACTCTGGATTTCATATAACAATGCTGAATTCATCTCCATGTCTGTGATGAGATCTTAAGTCAAGGCCATTTCTGGACGAGAATACAGTTAAGGGACATGGTCCAAGATTTAGGAATAACATTTATGGACTGAAAGAAGGGTGTCCCTGGTGGCTCAGTGGTAAAGAAGTCACCTGTCAATGCAAGAGAAGAAGGTTCAATCCTTGGGTTGGGAAGATCCACTGGAGGAGGATGGCAACCCACTCCAGTGTTCTTGCCTGGAGAATCCAGCGGGTAGAGGAGCCAGGCAGGCTGTGGTCCTAAGTGTGACATTTAGGAGGTCACAAAAAGTCAGCATAACTGACCGACTAAACAACAACAACAGTATCACAATATTAAAGTAATAAAGAAGCTGAAAACAGTTTGCCATAATACTGTTGGTGTAAACACATCCAGTTGACGTTTTTTCTGCTTACAATCTGATAACAGCAAGGCCATGGTGTCCTGGGTTCAGGTCCCCAGCTGAATATGTGTCATGTGTTCATTCACTTGCCATCGGGACCGAGGGCTTTTTTGGGGGGGGGGCGGGGGGCTCTGCCGAACACTGCTGTTGTTGTTTAGTGTCTCAGTCATGTCAGACTCTTTGCAACTCCATGGACTGTAGCCCACCAGACCCTCTGTCCATGAGATTTCCCAGGCAAGAATGCTGGAGTGGGTTGCCACTTCCTCTTACAGGGGATTTTTCTGACTCAGGGGTTGGATCTGTGTCTCCTGCTTGGCAAGTAGATTCTTTAGCACAGAACCTGGGAAACTAGGGCACATTAACACTTGGGAATCAGTCATAGGTTTTCCCTCCAGATGGTTTAGTCCCTAGACTATCAAGAGGATGTGAATGTATGAAATTGTAGGGTTAAATATTCCAGGCAGTGAAAAGACGAGGTACCAGGGCAGGCCTGAGGCAGGACTGAGGTTCTGGGGGCTGTGCTGGGTGGCCACTCAACTGTGACCTTGAGACAGCTGAGGATGTGGGAGGTGCAGGAGGCTATCCTCCTCTGTAGCTCCTGAACCTAGAGGGGAGATCCAGGGGAAGGACGGGCCGAGGGAAGCTGGAAGCCAGGGTGGATCCTGGGGCAAGTCCAGAACGAAAGGGCCACTGGCTGTGGATGTTGTTTATTAGTAGTGAGAGTTTCCCTCCAGGTAAAAGTGGGTACAGGGTCCAGCTGCCTGATCAGCAGGGTGACCATTACTCTGTGCTATTATAAACTAATGTGGTTGTTGTTCAGCCGCCAAGTTGTCCAACTCTTTGCAACAGACGGACTACAGCACGCCAGCCTTCCCTGTCCTTCACTATCTCACTGAGTATGCTCAAATTCAGGTCCATTGGGTCAATGATGCCATCCAACCATCTCATCCTCTGTTGCCCCCTTCTCCTCCTGTCCTCAATCTTTCCTAGCATCAGGGTGTTTTCCAGTGAGTCAGCTCTTGGCATCAGGTGGCCAAACTATTGGAGCTTCAGCATCAGTCCTTCCAATGAATATTCAGGGTTGATATCCTTTATGATTGACTGGTTTGATTTCCTTGCAGTCCAAGGGACTCTCAAGAGTCTTCTCCAGCACCACAGTTGGAAAGCATCAATTCTTCTGTGCTCAGCCTTCTTTATGGTCCAACAGTCACATTCATACCTGACTACCAGAAAAATCTTAGCTTTAACTATACAGACCTTTGTTGGCAAAGTGATGTCTCTGTTTTTTAACACACTGTGTAGGTTTGTCATCGCTTTTCTTCCAAGTAGCAAGCATCTTTTAATTTCATGGCTGCAATCACCATCCCCAGTGGTTTTGGAGCCCAAGAAAATAAAATAAGTCACTCTTTCCATTGTTTCCCCATCTATTTGCCATGAAGTGATAGGACTGGATGCCATGATCTTAGTTTTTTGAATGTTGAAATTTAGGTCAACTTTTTCACTGTCTTCTCTTCACCCTCATCAAGAGGCTCTTCAGTTCCTCCTCTCTTTCTGCCATTAGGGTGGTGTCATCTCCATGTCTGAGGTTGTTGATATTTCTCCTGGAAGTCTTGATTCCAGCTTGTGATTAATCCAGCCTGACCTTTTGCATGGTGTACTCTGCATAGAAGTACAGATTATACTACAAGGGTGACAATAAACAGCTTTGTTGTATGTAAAGTATATATAAAGTAATATATTTTATTTGTATATATAAAGTAATATATTTGTAATTAATTTTATTTATTTAGAATTTACCAAACATCTGAAAAGTGACTTCAAGTCCTTCTTACCTTGAAATTTTAAGTTTAGGTATTAAGAACTGATCAAACATATTTCTAAAATGATGACTTTTGTTCTGTAAAGTTTTGAAAAATTACATTCTTTGTTTTAAACAGGCCAAAAGACATTTTCTGAAGACATAATGGAAACTTTAGTGGTGGTGTTAGCAAATCTTTTTGGGCGACAATATTTTCTTCAGTGTGTGAAAAACTGAAAGAGATTTTTTTTCATTCAGTGGTAAGAAAAAAATATACCACAACCTTGTGATTTTATCAGAACTCTTCCCATTGTAACACGCAGTGAAATTGTATTCTTATAATGACAAAAACTTTGCTGTTGCTCACTAGAATCACTTCTTCACCCTGCCTCAGCCAGTTCTGGGCATTTGCCAGAACTTCTCAGACAAAGCTAAGCTCAAGCTCCTGTTTCAATATGGAAGACTTTATTCCTGACAGAGGTTATTAGCAAGCTATAAGAGAGGAGTTTTCTGTTACATTGAAATCAATTTCAAACAACATCACATTCAAAATGGAGAAATCATAGCCACAGGGACATTTATATCTGAAACAAGAAGATGTGAACGTTCAGTTTAGCGGTCATTTGAAAATGTCATTATGGAAATTTTAGTGACTGCCAAATGGCATGAAATAAAACTAGGATAGATGCCTTGGGTAGGTGAACAGAGCGAGCAAGGAGCAGGGTCGACTGATGTAAAACCAGGTTCTGTCCTGGCCGAGCCACTTAGCACATGGGTAGCTGTAAGCACTTTCTTCATCTGTCAACCTTTGCTGGGAGGACTGAATGAATGGATGTGTAGTGGCGTAGAACAGCGCGTGGCACAAAGGAACAGTGGGTGCTAGATCTCATTTTGTAATTGTTGTTTATGGACAAAATGACCCCTGAAAAAGGCAGAACACTTGGCAGAAAAATAATTAGAATTCATAGCAGTTTAGTATGTCTTCAAAGGCAAAATAGATCTAATGAAAGGGACAGCTTTCCCATACGCTAAAGTGAAGGAAATAAAGTATAAAATAATTGAGTAGAAAATGGAAATTAACAAGACACCACAGCTCTCTTGTAAATCTGGCAATGATTACAATGAACAGTTATGTTGATAGGATTATATATAGGTAGCGCCTTTGAAAATGTTAATATTGTATCTACTTCTTGAACTTTACAGTAGTGATGTAATCAGAAATACAAATACAGGGATGTAAACTGTGTCATTCGTTTCCTAGGCTGCTGTCAGACATGGGTGGGTTAGACACAGAGGGCTGCCTTCTCACCGCTGGAGGTGGGTCCAGGCAGGACTGGTCCCTCCGCAGGCAGTGAGGGAGGGCCTGCTGTCCACCTCCCTCTGCCCTCCTCGGCTAGTGGACACATTACCATCATCTCTGCCTCTGTGTGCCTGAATACAGTCCACATCTTCCCCTTTATAGGGGCACTGGCCACTAGGTTAGGAGCCCGCCCTGCCTCATCCTAGCTGACTGGGTGTGCAGTGGCCTCTTTCTTTTCTTTCCCCTTTTAAATTTAAATTTTATTTTTGGCTGAGCTGAGTCTTTCCTGCTGTTCAGGCCTTCTCCAGCTGCAGAGAGCAGGGGCTAGTCTGTCATGGAGCATGGGCTCTCGGGCACGTAGGCACAGAAAGTGGCATTAATAAAGTTACATTTGTAGGTACTGGGGCTTAGGATTTCAGGATAGGATTTGTTGAGGGACACAGTTAAACCTAATGTAGAGTAATTATTCATCATTGAAAATTGAATGCCACTCACAGGTCAACAAGAAGGAAATGGTTAGGTGAATTCTAACATACCTCATATGTAGCAATATTATATAGCCACTAAAATTCATCCTTTCAGAAAGTATCCTGTGACATGGAAAAGTGCTCCAGATGTAATGTTGAGTACAAAAATCAAACAAAAATCCTGCAACGTCAGTTTGTGTGTAAAAGACAGGAAGGAAATAACATATGCCAAAACCTTTATAACCTGTATGCCTGGGTGGTAAGATCACAAGCAACTTTGGTGTTTTTTTTTTTAATACTTTGCTGTAACTAATGAAACTTACACTTAGAAACGTAGTCCCATCCAGACTTGTAAAATCCTTGTGACCCTGGTCTTCCCTGCCTGGACTCTGATTGGCCACACCCGTCTCTTCCCGTCCCCAGGTAGTTCTGAAGGGCCTGCCTGAAGACTTTGCCTCCGAGGTAGAGGAACGCAATGACAGCGTCCAGAAGAACGCTGTTTCCTTCCTCCTGACAATTTCTAAGCTGGCTGACACGAGAAAAGATTGCCAGCGACCTCTCTCAGAGATTGGTAAGGCTGAGAATGTCCATGCTGTGTAGTCAAGAGCAAAAGATAAATGTCAAAATCCTGAGATAAAGTTAAACATTAGAATACAAGGAGAAAACTCAGGCAGAAAGAACACTTAGGAAACACACATCCTCCTCCAGACTTTTGCCATGCAACGGTGCTCCTACACTATGTTATTTGGAATTAGCTAAACCACCATGGATTTGATTTGACACTAAATGCTTAAAACATCTCTACATTTTCTGGCATTACGATAAGCTAACAGGCCATTAGTTCAGTTCAGTCACTTAGTCGTGTCCAACTCTTTGCGACCCCATGGGCTGTAGCACGCCAAGCTTCCCTGTCCATCACCAACTCCCGGAGTTTACTCAAATTCATGTCCATTGAGTCGGTGATGCCATCCAACCATCTCATCCTCTGTCGTCCCCTTCTCCTCCCATCTTCAATCTTTCCCAGCATCAGGGTCTTTTCAGATGAGTCAGTTCTTCGAATCAGGTGGCCAAAGTATTGGAGTTTCAGCTTCAGCATCAGTCTTTCCAATGAATATTCAGATTGATTTCCTTTAGGATGGACTGGTTGGATCTCCTTGCAGTCCAAGGGACTCTCAAGAGTCTTCTCCAACACCACAGTTCGAAAGCATCAATTCTTCAGCGCTTAGCTTTATTTATAGTCCAACTCTCACATCCATACAATTTAGTCCATAATATCCATTTTTCTCTTGATGCTGTTTGTCTTTTGGTCAATACTGATGTCCTCACTAGTTAAGCTTTCAAATCTGAATAACTTTGGCAATGTAAGAAAAGGACCATTGGCACATTTACGGGGCTCATCAGTATGTGTGAACTTGCTTGAGTACACTATGAAGGCAACAAGGAAGTCCTGGCATTGCGCATGCCTTTGAGGAAAGGATAGAGTAAATGAAAAAAAATAATATAAGGAAAGTGCACGCATCTGTGCCAAATGAAGTAAAGGCTTAGGAAGTAGAGAACACACTCCGTGTCCAGGACGGAGAGGAGAGGGACTAAGGGGGATGTCAGAAGGGGCAGCGTCCTTCCCTCCCTTCTGGAAGAACCAGGCCGGGAAGAGAGCCGTCAGCTCTGCCTAGGTTCATTCATATTTCTGGATAGACTGTTCTATTGGAGTGTGGGAGGCTCGGGAGCGACCAGTAGGAAAGGGTGGGTTCATTCAGTCATGGGATGTGAAATTAGATAGCAGTGAGGCACTTCACAGGAAAGAATGTCACTGTTTCCAGGAAACCACTTGCATTTCTGACGCGGGCTCAGTACACTTATCTGTCTTCTGACTTTCTCTGGGGTGATGTCTGTGGGCAGGCTAATGCCCCCTCCCCGCAGGGCAGTGGGGCCCTGGTCCTGGGACCCCCTGAGTGGGTGATATGGTCAAGGATGTTCTCTGCCCTGCTGATCTCAGAGAACAAGTCTGGGGCGGGGGAAGGGGTCGGGGGAGGGCAGAGTGCAGACAGAGGGAGACCACCTGAGACACTGCTGTACCTCTCTTCCACTCACTCACCTCTCAGGCCTGGGTAGGGGGAGCTCAATCATAGCTGATGGGGCACAGGGAGGGGGCTGAGGCCGCCATTCCCTGCCCTGCTGGGTTATCAAGAGGAAACCTAGCCTAACTGGGCAGTGAGGCCAATTTTAACACTGTTACAAGAAGTCTTGCAGCTTTTGTAGCTCTGGGGCATCTTTTAAAACAACTTTTTATTTGAAATACAATGATTTACAATGTTGTGTCAGCACCTTAAAAGCAATTAACCAATGACGAAATGCATTTTAAAGGACTGGTTGGTGGTCTTGGGGTTTGACCTGAGACTGTCAGATCACTGGCCTCCGTGGCTTTGTCACCGGTGTTCATCCAGTTCCCGGGTGGGGACGCAGCAGCCCCCCGGGGCCCGTCGATGAGGACAGACAACAGCGCCTGTGACATAGACCAGAGCGGCTGCAGTGCGGGAAGAAGGCCTGCCCAGCGCTAGTCCAGCAGTACCGTCCTTAACTGTTCATCTTAAACATTTTCCTCTTGAAAACACTCAATCAGTTGCCTGGTAATAATGGAATAAACTGGGGCTTCCAAGTAGTGCTAGTGGTAAAGAACCTGCCTGCCGATGCAGGAGATGCAAGAGTGTCAGGCTCGATCCCTGGGTTGGGAAGATCCCCTGGAGAAGGAAATGGCCACTCCTGTATTCTTGCCTGGAGAATCCCATGGACAGAGGAGCCTGGTGGGCTACAGTCCATGGGGTCGCAAGGAGTTGGACATGACTGGGGGAGCGACTGAACAACAAGAACAAATATATCTTACTCTTATTCCAAAATAAGAATTCAAGCTTTTCATTGAAGTATAAAAACAAATCTTTTTAAAATACTTGAGTGTTTTTAAATAGAAAGTTAAATGAGGTAAGGAAGAGAATGTCACGTTCTCAGCTTCTCAGCACTTGTGGATTATGCCTGACTGTGAGGATGGTCTCCCCAGAGGCCCTGGCTGCTCCTGTGTGGACCAGAGACCAGCACCCTGGCCAGAGACCCCACCCCATGGGCCCTGAGCAGGGGCACATCAAATGAGGCCCCTGCAGTAGGTTGTGTTTACATGTCCTCATTCTTGTGATCCTGGCACCTAAGATGGTGTGGGATAGAGGGGAAACAGCAGATATATAACACACACTTTAATTTTTAAGATGAACACATGAGCCGCTGTTTCCTGCCCCAGGTGATGAGAGTAATGAGCCTGCTGGCTGGCCCTGCGTAAAACCCTGGTGCCTTATCCATGACACATGAAGAAGCAGTACATTTTTGTTTCCTTAGATGGAAACTTCTGGGAAATATTTCCTCATGCTTTTTTAATTGAATTATAGTTGATTTGAGCTTCCCTGCTGGCTCAGATGGTAAGAATCCACATGCAATGCAGGAGACGCAGGATTGATCCTGGGGTTAGGAAGATCCCTTGGAGAAGGGAATGGGAACCCACTCCAGTGTTCTTGCCTGAAAATCCCATGGACAGAGGAGCCTGGTCAGCTGCAGTCCATAAGGTCGCGAAGAGTCATACATGACTGAACAACTAAACCACCACATAGCTGATTTACAATGTTGTGTTAATTACTGCAGCACAGGAAAGCAATTCAGTTACACACACATATATGTATGTATCCGTTTTTCACAAATTGTCTCTATTACGGTTTATCACACGATGCTGGATACATGTCTCTGTGCTGTACAGTAGGGCCTTGTTATTTATCCGTTCTGCACACAGACATTTACATGTGCGGACCCCAGCCTCCCACTCCACACCGCCCCCAGCCCTGCCCCCCTTGGCCACCACATCTGTTCTCTGTGATTCTGTCTCTGTTTCCTAGATATGTCTGTGCCATATCTGAGATTCTACATGTGGCAGGATCGCATGGTGTCCGTCTTTCCCTTCTGACTCGCTTCCCTTGCTGTGATCATCTGCAGTCTCTTCCCTGGGGCTTGAACCGGCGTTATGATGGCCGAGCCATTAGCATCCACTGTGTCTGTGTCCCCCATCTGCTGGATCCACTCACGGTCCCTGTTCCCTTAGGTCACCTCCGCACCTTGGCTGTTGTACCTGGTGCTGCCCTGACCTTCGGACTGCAGCTGTCTTATAAAATTGTGGTTTTCTCCAGATCTGTGCCCAGGCATGAGTTGATGGGCCACATGGTACTTGTATGTCTAATGTTTGAAAGAACCTCCATACTGTTCCCCCTAGTAGATGTTCCGATTTCCATCCCACCAACAGTGTAGGAGGGCTCCCTTCTGTCTGCACTCTCTCTAGCATTTACTGTTGTAGATGTTTTGAGATGGCCCTGCTGAGTGGTGTGACGTAATGTCATTGGACTTTTGATTTACGTTCCTCTAGTAATGAGTGATGCTGACTCATGGGCTTTCATGGGCTTTATGGCCATGTATGTGCTTTCTTTGCAGAAATGTGCATTTATATCATTGCACCATGTTTATTGGGTTGCCTGTTTTGATATAGAGTGGCACAAACCATTTGTACGCTTTGGAGATGAATAGATTGTGGGTATCTTTGCAAATATTTTTATTCGACTCTGAGGGTGATCTTTTTCTTTGGCTTGGTTTTCTTTGCTATGCTCAAGCTTTTCGGGTTAATTACCTACCATTTCTTTATTTTTGTCTTGTTTTCCATTATTTCTAAGAGATAGGAAAAAAGAACTTGCAACGATTTATGTCAAAGTGGATTCTGCCTGTATTTTCCTCCAGAGTTTCCTAGTATCCTTACATGGACATCTTTAATCCCTTTGGGGTTGATTTTTTTGTATGATGTTAGGGAGTATTCTGATTTCACCCTCATTTTCATCGTTTCAGGAGCCTGTCCTCCATAGTGGTTGTTCCCAAGTAACATTCCTAACACCGTCTCCAACAGTGATTGTTTGTAGAGTTTGTGACAGTGGTCATTCTGACTGAGGCAAGGTGAACCCTTTTTGTAGTTTTGATTTGGATTTTTCTATTTTTTAGTTGATGTTGATATCTTTTCATGCGATTCTTTATAAACAGTGTGAGGTAAATTTACCTCTTGAAATTGGTTTCTTGAAGTACTGCCCTATTTGGAGTTCTTTTTGATGACCTTCCTTAGGACATTTCTTGAGGGCAGAAGAAGATTTTTACTTACAACCCTGCAAACCTTTCCTTGTGTGTATATTAAGTGCCCATTAGCAGAGGTTTTATAGTTGTAGTTCCTCAAAATGGCCACAAAGCGGCAGCATTTCTCCATGCTGCACTTTTCTTTGGTGGCGGGTGGGCTGTAGAGGATTTCATTTTTTTTTTATACTGGAGTAAAGTTAATTTACTTTATCCGACCTGCCTCCCGAGGAACCTGTATGCAGGTCAGGAAGCAACAGTTAGAACAGACATGGAACAACAGACTGGTTCCAAATTGAGAAAGGAGTATGTCAAGGCTGTATATTGCTTATTTAACGTCTATGCAGAGTACATCATGAGAAACACTGGGCTGGAGGAGGCACAGGCTGGAATCAAGGTTGCTGGGAGAAACATCAATAACCTCAGATGTGCAGATGACACCACCCTTATGGCAGAAAGTGAAGAACTAAACAGCCTCTTGATGAAGGTAAAAGAGGAGAGTGAAAAAGCTGGCTTAAAGCTCAACAGTCAGAAAATGAAGATCATGGCATCTGGTCCCATCACTTCAAGGCAAATAGATGGGGAAACAATTGAAACAGTGCCAGACTTTATTTTTGGGGGCTCCAAAATCACTGCAGCTGGTGACTGCAGCCAAGAAATTAAAAGATGTTTGCTACTTGGAAGAAAAGCTATGACAAACCTAGACAGCATATTAAAAAAGCAGAGACATCACTTTGCCGATAAAGGTCTGTCTAGTCAAAGCTTTGGTTTTTCCAGTGGTCATGTATGGAAGTGAGAGTTGGCCCATAAAGAAGGCTGAGCACCAAAGAATTGATGCTTTTGAAGTGTGGTGTTGGAGAAGACTCTTGAGAGTCCTTTGGACTGCAAGGAGATCCAACCAGTCCATCCTAAAGTAAATTAGTTCTGAATATTCATTGGAAGGACTGATGCTGAAGCTGAAACTCCTATACTTTGGCCACCTGATGCCAAGAGCTGGCTCATTAGAAAAGACCCTGATGCTAGGAAAGACTGAGGGCAGGAGGAGAAGGGGACGACAGAGGATGAGGTGGTTGGATGGCATCAGCGACTTGATGGACATGAGTTTGAGCATGCTCCAGGAGATGGTGAAGGACAAGGAAGCCCGGCGTGCTGCAGTCCATGGGGTCGCAAAGAGTCGGACACGACTGAGTGACTGAACAGCTACAACAATAAAGATTTCTGATGTTGTGGTTGTCTTAAGTGCATGACAACTTGATGCAGTTATACTCAGACGTTTATCTATTCTTTACTGTGTTCTTTTTCCCACTTAGGTTATTAAAGTATGTTCAGGAGAGTTGCATATGCACTTCCCTGTCATTTTTTATATTTATTTGATAAATGTTAGTGTGTATATGTGAATTCCAAGCATTTCATTTATCCCTTTCCTCTTTTTTTCTATTTATAAGTTGTTTTTTTTAATTCTGTCAGCCAAATTGGTTTTTTGTATGAATATATAGATTCCCCCTTTAAGTATGCTGTATAATATTATTCTTTCTATCTCTGATTTACTTCACTTAGTGATGTTATCTCTTTGTCTGTGCTGCTTCCAGTGACACTGTTTTGTTCCGCTTTATGGCTGAATAGTATTCCATTTATAGATGTAGCAGTATTCATTTCTCTCTGGATGGACATTTTGGTGAATTCTGTGTCTTGACTGTGGTAAACAGTGGTGCTGAGAAAATAGGGGGGCACAAGCCATTTGGAATTATGCTAGCCAGGTGTTGGCATAGGAGTGCAATTGCTGGATCATGTGGTACTCCTGTTTAAAGGAACTTTAGTTTTTAAGGAACTAAAGTTCCTTAAACTTTGAAACTTAAAAACTTAAGGAACCTCCATGCTATTTTCCATCCTGGCTGCACCCATTTCCATCTCCACCCAGAGTGACGGAGGATGCCTTTTCTTCATAGATCCTTCAGATGATGGTCCTTCTGACCGATGGGAGGGGATTGCTTATCATAATGTTGATTTTTTATTTATTTATTTATTTATTTTTATCACAACCATAGTGTATCTTTTTTTTTTTTTTTTTACATGTATTCCCCATCCCGGTCCCCCCTCCCACCTCCCTCTCCACCCAATCCCTCTGGGTCTTCCCAGTGCACCAGGCCCGAGCACTTGTCTCATGCACCCAACCTGGGCTGGTGAACTGTTTCACCCTAGATAATATACGTGTTTCAATGCTGTTCTCTTGAAACATCCCACCCTCGCCTTCTCCCAGAGTCCACAAGTCTGTTCTATACATAGGAGTCTCTTTTTCTGTTTTGCACATAGGGTTATCGTTACCATCTTTCTAAATTCCATATATATGTGTTAGTATACTGTAATGGTCTTTATCTTTCTGGCTTACTTCGCTCTGTATAATGGGCTCCAGTTTCATCCATCTCATTAGAACTGATTCAGATGAATTCTTTTTAATGGCTGAGTAATATTCCATGGTGTATATGTACCACAGCTTCCTCATCCATTCGTCTGCTGATGGGCATCTAGGTTGCTTCCATGTCCTGGCTATTATAAACAGTGCTGCGATGAACATTGGGGTGCACGTGTCTCTTTCAGATCTGGTTTCCTCGGTGTGTATGCCCAGAAGTGGGATTGCTGGGTCATATGGCAGTTCTATTTCCAGCTTTTTAAGAAATCTCCACACTGTTTTCCATAGTGGCTGTACTAATTTGCATTCCCACCAACAGTGTAAGAGGGTTCCCTTTTCTCCACACCCTCTCCAGCATTTATTGCTTGTAGACTTTTGGATAGCAGCCATCCTGACTGGTGTGTAATGGTACCTCATTGTGGTTTTGATTTGCATTTCTCTGATAATGAGTGATGTTGAGCATCTTTTCATGTGTTTGTTAGCCATCTGTATGTCTTCCTTGGAGAAATGTCTGTTCAGTTCTTTGGCCCATTTTTTGATTGGGTCATTTATTTTTCTGGAGTTGAGCTGGAGGAGTTGCTTGTATATTTTTGAGATTAATCCTTTGTCTGTTGCTTCGTTTGCTATTATTTTCTCCCAATCTGAGGGCTGTCTTTTCACCTTGCTTATAGTTTCCTTTGTTGTGCAAAAGCTTTTAAGTTTCATTAGGTCCCATTTGTTTATTTTTGCTTTTATTTCTAAAATTCTGGGATGTGGGTCATAGAGGATCCTGCTGTGATTTATGCAAAAGAAACTAAAGAGATCATAGTAAAAATTAACAAAGCTAAAAGCTGGTTTTTTGAAAAAATAAACAAAATTGACAAACCATTAGCAAGACTCATTAAGAAACAAAGGGAGAAGAACCAAATTAACAAAATTAGAAACGAAAATGGAGAGATCACAACAGACAACACCGAAATACAAAGGATCATAAGAGACTACTACCAGCAGATCTATGCCAATAAAATGGACAACTTGGAAGAAATGGACAAGTTCTTAGAGAAATATAACTTTCCAAAACTGAACCAGGAAGAAATAGAAGATCTTAACAAACCCATCACAAGCAAGGAAATCGAAACTGTAATCAGAAACCTTCCAGCAAAAAAAAGCCCAGGACCAGATGGCTTCACAGCTGAATTCTACCAAAAATTTAGAGAAGAGCTAACACCTATCTTACTCAAACTCTTCCAGAAAATTGCAGAAGAAGGTAAACTTCCAAACTCATTCTATGAGGCCACCATCACCCTAATTCCAAAACCAGACAAAGATGCCACAAAAAAAGAAAACTACAGGCCAATATCACTGATGAACATAGATGCAAAAATCCTTAACAAAATTCTAGCAAACAGAATCCAACAACATATTAAAAAAATCATAATGTTGATTTGCATAGATTTACCGATGAGTGTGGTGGAGTATCGTTCCATGTGTTTCTTTTCGTTATACAGTGTGACTCCAACTTCCTGCTTGAAACTGGCTTCTTGTAAGTCTGACCTGTTTTGAGTTCTCAGATGATTTATTCTAGCACATTCCTTGAGGGCAGGAGTCTTTTACAGCCCCACAGGCCTTGTGAATGTGAGGAGCCCATGAGCACCAGCTTTCAAGTGGTTGTTCCAAAACAAGGCCACAAGGGGGCAGCATCGTTTCACGCCCCACTCTTTCTTCCCCCACAATTTAGTCTATTGGATTTGAGTTGATTTTCAATGTTGTGTTTCCTTGAGGTGTATGGAGTCTGATTCAGTGATTCATAGACATATAGTAGACGCATATCTACGTCTGTATCTGGGGACTGGCCTCTTCTTGTCATCAGGATCTTTTTCTCAGGCCTGGCAGCCTTAGGGAGTCAGAGTACCGCCAGCCACCCCACTCCCTGCCTGAGCCCGGCTCTGGGAAGGCCCTGGGTCAGTGTAAGTCACCCCTTCATGTAAGTGTGGATCAGATGGTGAAGGTTAAAGCCGCAGTGGGCCCGGCTCTGGACACTGTGCCCGCGCCTGGCATCATCTCAGAGGCGTAGAGCAGAGCGCCTCAGGGCCCACAGGAGCCAGAAGGACGATCTCCGTCACAGGGAGCTTCTTAAGTGCCCTTCGCTGGAGTCCAGTCAGTTTGCAGCGTTGTGCTGTAAGCCAGCACAACCGCGCTGTGCTGCACGCCGACCCGGCTCCACATGCTCCGAGTGTCCTTTTCCACTGTGGTCTATCCCGGGAGAGTGAGTGCAGCCCCGGTGCCCCACGGTGGGACCTGGCTGTTCACTCCTGCAGGGACGAGTTTGCACCTGCTCACCTCGACCTCCCAGTCCTCCCCTTGCCCACTCTTAGGCCTGGGCGACCACCCGCCTGGGCTCTGTCTGTGGGGCGCGTCTGTTTTGCAGATGGTTCCTTGTGTCCAGTTTTGCTCTGCACGTAGCTGATCTTGTATGCTTGCCTTTCTGTTTGACTTACTTCACCTACTTTGATCATCTCTAAGTTCATCCACGTTGCTGCAAGTGGCATTATTTCCCTCTTTTTTTGACTGAGTACTATTCCCTTGTGTTTATGTACCACATCTTCTGTATCCGTTTATCTGTCCATGGACAGGTTGCTCCCGTGTCTTGGCTGTTGTGAACAGTGCTGCTCTGAACCTAAGAGTCATGTGCTTATTGGAGCAGCCTTCTGACCAGAGTGGGGCTGCTGGGTCATATGGTGTTTCTAGTTTTGGCTTCCTGAGGAGCCTTCATAATGTGCTCTGCGGTGACTGCACCAACTTCCCCCAGCAGTGTAGGCATGTTTAATGGGCAGTAAGTTCTAAAGACTGAGGACAAAGTCAGATAGTTATATTCTGAAAGGCAGCTTAAGAAAAATAGGTATATATGGAGAGGGGAATGCTACTTCTCTTATGTGTAGCTGGTATAATATCAGTTTGTAAAGTCATGAATATTTTTTCAGGAAAAATGGATTTCAAAAAAATATTTGTAGCATACCAATGTGATAAAAGTGACTCTGACTGCATACTTCAAGCTAGTTAGTAAAGGACAGGGAGCCTGGCGTGCTGCAGTCCATGGGGTCACAACGACTCAGATACAGCTGAGTGGTGACCTGATTTCTATGATTTCTAAGACTCAACATTTTGAATATTGATTTTTTTTTTAACTGACTTTGGTCACTTATATTAAAGTGAAGAAAACCTTAATACATGGCTGCAACACTTAATTAAAACATATTATTGTTTAGATAATAGATGTAAGGAACCAGGATAGTCAAATTTTATAATAGACTAAAGTGAAAGTGTTAGGAGTTCAGTTGTGTTTGACTCTTTTGTGACGCCATGGACTGTAGCCCACCAGGCTCCTCTGTCCATGGGATTCTCCAGGCAAGAATACTGGAGTGGTTGCCATTCCCTTCTCCAATAATAGACAAAGGTACATCTCAAAAAAAAGATGGTAACAGTCTAAAATCTCTGCATGTCCTCATGCTCCGTTACGAACAATTGATGTGGATGCAAAAAATATTCCTCTCCTTCACTTGAGTAAATGCGACAACATTGGAAGAACATTCCCTTTGAAGGGTTATGTACTGAACTTCTACAAACACGGCTCACTGCCTGCCCTGACTGAGGATAACTGGTATGAGCTTTCCTGTGTTAATATGCCCTACAGACATGCACATGTGTCTGTGTAATGAGGGCTGTTTCATCATGACGTATGAGATTAGTTTTAAGATACACTGATTTAAAAAGAATCACTAAGATGCAATTTATTTCAAATGGTTTAAAAGATGCTTTTTCAAATTATGATTGAGGTGACGGTCACGTATAAAATTGAATATTTTAAAGTTAACAACTTGAGGATGTTTGATGCATTCAGAATGAACAACCACCGTCTCCATCGGGGTGTTAAGTACTGTCAGTAGCCCAAGGGGGAAGTCTGCATCCGTGAAGCAGAAGCTCTCTCTTTCTCCTCCCTACCCCTCTGGCCGCTACTGTTCTGTCTGCTTTCCATCTTGTGGATTTAGCTCATCTGGGCGGTTAACATGAATGCTCTTTCAGTTATGTGACTTTTTGCGTCAGATTTCTCTCACTGGGAATTTTTGAGGTTGACCAAGTTGTAACATTATCAGTTGTTATTGTTCAGTTGCCAGGTTGTGTCTGACTCTTTGCGACCCCATGGACTGCAGCATGCCAGGCTTCCTTGTCTATCACCAACTCCCAGAGCTTGCTCAAATTCGTGTCTATTGAGTTGGTAATGCCATCCAACCATCTCATCCTTTGTCGCCCCCTTCTCTTCCTGCCTTCAGTCTTTCCCGGCATCAGGGTCTTTTCCAATGAGTTGGCTCTTTGGATCAGGTGACCAAAGTATTGGAGCTTCAGCATCAGTTCTTGCAATGAATATTCAGGGTTGATTTCCTTTAGAATTGAGTTTGTGTATATACAGATTGTTTATCTGGTGGATGAACATTTGAGTTGCTTCAACTTTTGCCTGCTGCAATGGTGCTGCCATGAACATACGTGAACATGGATTTATTTCAGTGCATGTTTCCATTCTTTTATGTGTATCCCCAGACATAGAATTGCTGGGTCATGCATTAACTCCATATTCAACTTTTGTAGAATTGCTGAAATATTTTCCACAACTGAACCATTTTACACCACCATCTGTACTGTACAAGGGTTCTACTTTCTCTATAACCGCACTACTCTTGTTTTCCTTTAAAAAAAAATTATAGCCATTCTAGTGTGTGAAGTGATCCACATCTCATTGTGGTTTTAATTTACATTTCCCTAAACACTAAAATTTTGAACTTGATCTTATACTATGAAAGAGATGCATGTAGTCTTTGGAGAAATGTGTGTTCAAGTCCTTTGCCAAGATCCAAGGTCATGCAGACTTAGCCCTGTGTTTTCTCTAAGAGATTTTCTATCTGAGTTATCGGTCCATTTTGGATAGATTTCGGTGTGTTGTGTAAGAGAAGGTTCCGACCTCATTCGTTTGCATGTGGATGTGCAGTGGCCCCTTAAAATTCTGTTCAGTTCTTTCTCCACGGAGTGGTGATGACCCCCATCAGGACTCAGCCGACAGATATCTGTGCCCTTCTTTCCGAACTCCTAGTACTCTTCCATTAGTCCAGCTGTCTGTTCTCACGCCAATAACACCCTGCTGGAGCTTCCCTGGTGGCTCAGATGGTGAAGAATCTGCCTGCAATGCAGGAGACCCAGGGTCGATTCCTGGGTCAGGAAGATCCCCTGGAGCAGGGCGTGGCAACTCACTCCAGTATTCTGGCCTGGGAAATCCCGTGGACACAGGAGCTATAGACAGCCCATGGGGCCACAAAGAGTTGGATACAACTGAGCAACTAACACTTTCACCACCCTGTTTAATAACTATAGCTTGTGAAATGTGTGGGTCTTCCAACTTTCTTTGTGTCTAACATGGTTTTGGCTGTTTCAGGTCCTATGTAATTCCACATGAATTTGAGGATTGTCTTTCCACTTCTGCAAAAACAGCTGTATAGGTTTCCACAGAGACTGCAGTGAATCTGTAGATCACATTTAGGAGCACTGGCATCTTAACAGTGTCAAACCATTCAATCCATAAAGGCAAGATAGCTTCCCATTTTTAGGTCTTCCTTAATTTCTTTCGGCAATGTCATAGTTTTCAGGGCACAAGTCTTTGACCTCTTCTATTAAATTTATTCCTAGGTATTTCATTCTTTTGCATGCTATTGCAGTTGAAATTTCCCCCTTAATATTCTTTTCAGAATGTATTAATACCTCATTTTCATGAAGAGATACAATTGGTTTTGAGTGTTGTTCTTGTACTCTATGGGGCCTCCCTGCCTGCCAATTCAGGAGACTGAGGTTCAATCCTTGGGTCAGGAAGATCCCCTGGAGAAGAAAATGGCAACCCACTCCAGTATTCCTGCCTAGAGAATTCCATGGACAGAGGAGCCTGGTGGGCTACGGTTCCTGGGGTTGCGGAGTCAGACACCACTGAAGGACTGGTTAACACTTTCACCTTTTTTTGCTTGTACTCTATATAACCTTGCCAAAGGTGTTTATTAGCTCTGATAGTTACTTTGTAAATCCTTCAGCGTTTTCTGCATATGGGATCATGCCATCTGTGAATAGAGGAGTTTACTTCTTCCTTTCCTTCTTTTTCTTCTTACCTGAGGGCTCTGGCTAGTACTTCCAGTAGAACGTTGAGCAGCGATGGAAGCAGACGGTTTTCCTCCTAGGTGTTCATTGCTCAGTTGTTTGGCCTTGCCTGTCACATTTCTCCCTTGGCAGCTGGGACAGCTCCTAGCTCAGAAGGACAGAGACGAGCACCTCACCTCAGTCCTTGCTGCAGCTCCCGACAGGTTAGGACAGACATATTTGGGAGCCAGGGGCCAGTATCCCACCGAGGGACACAGGCTCTGTCTTCAAGTCTGATGCTAAGCTGGTTGGAGGGCAGGGAGATGGTGAATAAAAATGTCTCAGTGGTTTCCTGCTTTCCCCACTGTGTTCTTAACTGAGTTAAATCCCAGCTTATTTCCCCACACTTTCTGAGAGCTGATTCTGGCAACTTTTGCTTGCGTTTCTGATGTTTTTCTGCAGGGAAGGGCTCTCACTCTGCCTTCTCTTCCATCTTCTGAGACATCCCAGTTTGGCACTGTTTTAACATGTACAATGACAACTTTGGTCATAATAAAGTTCTACAATATAAGAGCACTAAAAGTCACTTTTTCTTAGCCCAACAACTAGCCTCCTTTCTGATTCAGTCCATTTAAGGTTTTATTTTGTCTCTGGAAATGCCAGCAATTCAGTGCTAATTTATCTTTTCCTCAGCTGTAGACTAAGAACACACCCAAACAAAGCTCATGCATTTTACGCTGCTGACTCTTTTCTGTAGGTTAAACATGGGTGATGGGTTTCAGTTCATCGGAGGCCTCGCGCTGGTCACTTGGGCCATCGGGTAGATACACCTCCCTGTGTTTGGGGTTCCCTTGACCGCTGCAGGTCAGTATGCACAAACAGCCACGGCCATAACATAACGCGTCCTCTAGCACAGGACCTCAGTGAGTGAGTTATGTGAAGACGAGGACAGCTGTGTTGTGCTGGCATTTAAACAACTAGGTGACGCTTTCAACGGAAAACTTGGGAGAAAAGAAAGGCCCTGACTGTGTCCAGTTTTCCTGAGCCCTGGGCACCTGGGAAACTGAGTTGGCCCAGATGCCCCCTTGCGTGTCAGGATGCGGTCACCACCCCTTCCCACATGGCTAAGATGGGCTTGTAGCGACTCCTCCTTACCCACGACCATCCTCAACGTGCCCTCCACACTCTTCCGCTTCATCTCACGTGGGATGAGCTGGACTGGTTTCCCCTGCTGACAAACATTTGCTAGCTTGACCACATATTAGGTTTCTCCTGACCACCCCACAGGTCCCTGAACTATATAACCCACCCTCAGGCTCCTCCGAATAGCTTCCTGGAGGGGCCCCCAGATCTGTCCCCACCCAGCCCCTGTAAGGGTCACTGTGAGGTCAACAGTACCATCACACCACGTCCCCCACCCCCACACGATCCTCTCCAGCCTCTTGTACTAACCCTATGAATCGAAGCTGTTTCCTGCTGACCTTTGAGACCCTGCACACCCAAGGTCAGCGTCTTCCCTTTATGTTTGCCTCCTCCACTTACTGCAATAAAATCTCCTTACCTAAGTCCAGAGGGTTTTTTTCCCCCACACTATGCCAAAGACACAAAAGATATTACTTAGCCGAAGTGTAAGTTTCACAATTCCTTGAACAATGTATATAAAGATGTCTTAAGGTGAAAAGGTTTTTCCAAGGAGTTTTTTTAATTAATTTTTTTATTGAACGATAATTGCTTTACAGACTTTTGTTGTTTTCTGTCAAACCTCAACATGAATCAGCCATAGGTACACACATATCCCCTCTCTTTTAAACTCCCTCCCATCTCCCGCCCCACCCCACCCCTCTAGGGTGATACAGAGCCCCTGTTTGAGTTCCCTGAGCCACACAGGAAATTCCCATTGGCTGTCTATTTTACATGTGGTAATAAGTCTCCATGTTACTCTTTCCATACATCTCACCCTCTCCTCCCCTCTCCCCACGTCATAAGTCTGTTCTCTATGCCTGTTTCTCTATTGTTGCCCTGTAAATAAACTCTTCAGTACCATTTTTCTAGATTCTGTATTAGAATATGATATTTATCTTGCTCTTTCTGACTTACTTCACTCTGTATAACAGGTTCTAGGTTCATCCACCTCCTTAGAACTGACTCAAATGCGTTCCTTTTTTATGGCTAGTAATATTCCATTGTGTATATGTGCCACAACTTCTTTATCCATTCATCTGTTGATGGACACCTAGGTTGCTTCCATGTTCTAGCTATTGTCAATAGGGCTGCAATGAACAATGGGATACATGTGTCTCTTTCAATTTTGGTTTCCTCAGGGTATATGCCTAGGAGCGGGATTGCTGGGTCACATGATGGTTTTATTCCTAGTTTTTTAAGGAATCTCCATTCTGTCTTCCATAGTGGCTGTATCAATTTACATTCTCACCAACAGTTCAAGAGTGCTCCCTTTTCCCCACATCCTCTCCAGCATTTATTGTTTGTAGACTTTTTGATGAGGGCCATTCTGACCTGTGTGAGGTGATATCTCATTGTGGTTTTGATTTGCATTTCTCCAATAATGAGTGATGTTGAGCATCTTTTCATATGTTTGTTAGCTATCTGTATGTCTTCTTTGGAGAAATGTCTGTTTAGGTCTATTTCCCACTTTTTGATTGGATTGTTTTTCTGGTATTGAGTTGTATGAGCTGCTTGTATATTTTGGAAACCAATCCTTTGTCAGTTGTTTCATTTGCTATTATTTTCTCCCATAAGGTGGAAAATATTTAAGTTCTCATCGGGAATTCTAACAATATTTTTCTTCTAAGAGTTTTGCCTTGTATAACAGCTATGTTAAATATCTCAAACAGTTACTACTTTGGCTTGAAATAGTAATGATTCTTTTAAAAAATAGAAATAAAACCCAAGTTAAAATTATATAGCATCATATGCATCAAGACAATCAGTTGAAGTCTTGAAAGTAGTTTCAGAAGTCTAATTATGAACTGTTTCTCCATGTCCTGCACCGTCCCCCCAGGCAGACCCCAGTTCTGAGCATGTGCACTACGTCCCTGAGCCCAGAGGGGCCCGGTCTCCCGGGACTGTGCTGTGAGCCTGCACAGTGCTCCCTGGGGAACAACGCACCCCTGTGAACGTCACTTAGGTTTCTGGGGAACAACGCACCCCTGTGAACGTCACTTAGGTTTCTGTCTGCCTGTCCTTATCTCCCTTCTGGTCTTCCTCACCCACTGCCTCCAGGGTCTCGTTTGTACGCTCACCCCCGCCCCCCCGGCTCTGTGTATCCTGGGACTGCACCCCTCTGTCGTGGGCTCACCCATCCCTGTCCCCGATTCTGTTCTGGCTACACTGTGGCTTCAAGCTCCATTCTCCCCAAATCTGACTCTGTGAGCACATTTTCTCTGCTTCCCCTAATTTACCAAATCTCTAGACACCAAAGGGATCGGCCTCACTGATGGTGCTAATCACGCGCTTGCTTCCAGAGAGACCTTGCTGCTGCTGTTGAGCGGTGAAGACGGAAACCAGGAGCGAGGGCTCCTCTGAGCCGCTGGAGCAAGCGGCTGGTTCAACACCAGCGCCAAGGAGAGCAGAACCTGGGATGAGCTTCTGTCACTAGGGCGGCTCAGATACACACACACACATGCCTGTGTTTATGTCTCTCACACAGCTCAGCTTGACAGGCATAAAGCTGGCTGCATTCTGCTGTTTTGTGTCTTGGTGGTGGTGGTTTAGTCCCTTCAGCCGTGTCCAACTCTTTGTGACCCCTTGGACTGTAGCCCACCAGGCTCCTCTGTCCATGGGATTCTCCAGAGAAGAATACTGGAGTGGGTTGCCATTCCCTTCTCCAGGGGATCTTCCTGACCCAGGGATTAAACCTGCATCTCTTGCATTTCATGCATTGCAGGCAGGTTCTTTAAGTGAGCCTGATGTCTTTGCTTTCATTTAAAGGGGCTTTAAATGCTCACTTAGCCTTATTTTGCCCAGCGTCTTGAATGCGGGAGGGGATGTCCACCCACAGGTTGTCCTGGTCTCCCGCTGGGACAGACATAAGCCAGCCCACTTCTTGTAGGAATTGACCCTTCACATTCAATAACATGTATTTCAATACAGTGATTTCCTTTATTATTCTAGTATATGTACAATTTAACAAATTGCTGATTTAGATATCTGCAAATCCAATCCCATATACTTTCATCAATAGGTTTTTCTTGAAGAACCTATTGATACTAATTATTCTTAAAGTACTTTAAAAGAGAGAAAAGAAAATATGATTCTATAGTTTCATAGTAATGCTCCTAACAAGGCAAATTAGTCACAGCCTATATGTGACATGTCTGTGAAGATGAGGGCATACTCCGGATTCTCCTTTTCACTTAGTAGTCATCAGTGTCACCCGCACAGATGGCCAGCAGAGCCTTCTCATAATGCCCTGACGCGAAATTCTGAAAAGGAGCAGATATAAGGTATTTGAAACACAATGTCATAAAAAGAAGCATAATTCCTCTAAACTATACAATGAGACACCATGGGCCATTAGCATCTCAAAAAGTATTTGTTTTTTCCATCCTGATGTAACATGTCCCGGGGACTCTTCCCAGTGGAGGTTATTGAAAAGTAATGCCTTGGTCACAGTCAATAAAATGGGGTTTATATAAAGCTGATGGAACCCTAATGGTTTTTATTTATTTATTTATTTATGGCTGTGCTTGGTCTTCATTGTTGCATGTGGGCCTGAATATGTTTTTATAAAGAAGAATGCTTAGCAGTAGAATTAATTCTTCTCCTCACCTTTAGATAAAGAGGTGTCCTAATGTTACAAATTAGTGTAGAGTCTAGAGGGCACACTGGACAATATGTATCAAAAGGTTTAAAGATGTTTATACTCATTAATGCAGTCATTCTACTTCAAGAAGTCTATCCTAAGGAAGTAATGATCAATTGTTGATGAGCCCAAGATTTGTGCTCCAAAATATATGTCATTATAATTGTGTACAATAATGAAAAAGTAAAAGATAATATATAATAACATAGGGCAGTTTATGCCCTTTACAACTTATACAATGGGATCCATGATTTAAAGAAATATTTCTTTAAGTAGTAAAACTTTGATATTTACATATAGTTCTATAAAGAAAACACATACAACAAAATTTTACTGTTGGTTATCTGTAGTGAATAATTTGTTGTTGTTGCTCAGCCACTCCGTCATGTCCAACTCTCTGCAACCCTATGGACTGCAGCACGCCAGGCTTCCCTGTCCTTCTCCATCTCTCAAGAGTTTGTTCAAACTCATGTCCATTGAGTCAGTGATGCCATCCAACCATATCTTCCTCTGTTGTCCTCTTCTCCTGCCTTCATTCCTTCCCAGCATCAGGGTTTTCCCCAATGAGTCAGTTCTTCACATCAGGTGGTCATATTGGAGCTTCAGTTTCAGCATCAGTCCTTCCAATGAAAATTCAGGATTGATTTCCTTTAGGATTGACTGGTTTGGTTTCCTTGCAGTCCAAGGGACTCTCAAGAGTCTTCTCCAGTGCCACATTAGGGAAATTTGAACCCTTTTATCATCTTCTATAGTTTCTACATTGTTTTCAAAAGTGATAGTAATAAAAGTGTTATAAAACTTATCTTTGTTAAAAGTCAACTCTCACGTTCATGTTCTCTTACACAGTGGTTACTTATAATTCACTGCTTTAAGTGCACAAAGTTGCATTAATTATTTGTGAATATTAGCAGATTTTGAGGTGGCCAGTTAACTGCTGTATAGCATTGAGCTAGTTTATTCATTGAGAAAATGATTTAAGGATTTCTCAGTGAGAAACATTCATCTTCACTAAAGGTTTAGAGCTTTGAAGGTGGATTGAGAAGAGTTTTATCAGAGACAAAGGAGGAAGATGTCTCTTAAGTGCTCCAATAATCCTTCCTCTGAAACCATCTCGACTTCCTGAGGCCTACAAGGCCTCCTGAGTTATATGTTCTCTTGGTCCTCTGGTTGTCAAGTTTCTCCTGGATCTTTCAGTAAACTAAAAAACTATTTTATGCAATTAAAATTTTCAATGGAAACAATGTGGACAAGATAACAGGACTTGTTCAGTGGCTGAGTCATGTCCGACTCTTTCCAACCCCATGGACTGTAGCCCGCAATGCCTCTCTGTTCATGGGATTTCCCAGGCAAGAATACTGGAGTGGATTTCCATTCCCTTCTCCCGGGGAATCTTCCCAGCTCAGGGATGGAACCCAGGTCTCCTGCTTGGCAGGTGGATTCTTTCCCACTGAGCTGCCTGGGAAGCACAGAGGACTCAGCTGTGCTTAAAATACACCTTAAGATACATTCCAGGCCCCATCTTGGAGTTCTTTATACTTTTTTGAACCACGGGTCAAACATTATCATTTTCCACTGTGTCCCCAAGTTACACAGATGGGCCTCCATATGCTGACAGTTCTTGGCTGGGCTTTATCAGGATCCAGGGTAGAGTCTACATGTGCCAGAGTGAAGACCCCAGGCTGCAGATTTTGGAGTCATCGCATCAGCACCCTCCAGGGCTCATGGGTGCACATGTGCAGAATGTTACGGCTCCACCATGTGCGGGGACCTGACAGGCTGCCCTCCCCTCTGGCGGCACAAGGCAGCTGATCTCAGAAGGTGCTCTGCAGTTAACGTGCTCTCATTGCAGAATGCAGTCTTCTGGTGCTTGTGGTAAGGCCTCATCACACGATCAGGGGATGAATAGCGTGCATGACCAGACCACTGACTTTTGCTTAAAACACATCAAAGAGGAATAAGTGAGGTGAAGGGGTTTTCTCCCCTACTGATGCTCTCAGGCTGCCTGACCCATTAACGTAGACGACCCCTGCCGGAAGCTTGATTGAACTTTTTAGATTCCACCATGAAGTTAAAGTTAGGCTCTCTTTTCAGTTTCAAAAAGGATGAAATATGGCTGCAGGTAGATGATGAGGAGACTTACCTTGATGTCGTGGAAAAGGGACTTCCCATATCTCTCTTTGTATCGCTTCCTTATGCTCATCAGGTCGATTTCACTTCTGGAGATTAGAATCCTGATCACGGTTTTATTGTGGAAGCCCAAGTCCTAAGAGACACAGCCAAGTGGGGGTGACCACCGTGAGCAAACAGCAGCTTAAAGACAGCCTGTCTGAGACGGACCCAGCCCTTTTCATGACCGTGTCCTGAATTCCTCAGGCCCTGGTGTGCTCACCCATGAGCACTGACTCAGACTGCGCCTCAGCTCTGTGATCACCCCCGACCACGGTGCCCACACAGTGAGGCGGTCCATCTCCTCCGCTTCTCCAAGGCCCCGCCATCTCTATTTCCAGGGACACAGCCTTGATGCTGGCCCTTCTCATTTCACCAGGTTCGGCAATAATCTTCCCTCTTCTTTTTATTTATTTTTTAAATTAATTTTTATTGGAGTATAGGTGATGCACAAGGTTAGTAGAGCAAAGTGAATCAGTTGGACCAGAACCTGAGTTGCCCAGCCATATCTGACTCTGTGACCTCATGGACTGTAGCCACCAGGCTCCTCTGTCCATGGGGTTCTCCCAGAAAGCATACTGGAGTGGGTTGCCATGCCCATCTTCAGGAGGTCTTCCTGATCCAGAGATCGAACCCGGGTGTCTTACATTGCAGGCAGAGATTTTACTGTCTGAGCCACCAGGTAAGCCATCACCCACACACGTATGTGTGTGTGCATAGAAGTATCTCCATTCTTCTTTAGGTGCTTTTCCCATATTATCATTACAGAATATTGAGCAGAGTTCCTTGTGCTATACAGTAGGTACTTGTTGATTATCTATTTTATATATAGTAGTGTGTATATGTTGATCTCAAATTCCTATATTTATCCCTCTCTCCTCTTACCCGCTGGTAACCATGAGTGTTTTTCTACATCTGTGACTCTATAATTCTCCCTTTAAACCTGGCCAGCCTCCTCAGCGTCTCCCAGATGCTGCATTTTAGGACGCAGATTTGCTCTTTCTATATAAACATTTTTTCCTAGGCTGGGAGGTGGTCTCAGCTCTGGTTGATACCATTGGTATGCCTCTAAGATCATGATTACATTTTTTAAATGAATTTATTTATTTTATTTGGAGGCTAATTACTTTACAATATTGTAGTGATTTTTGCCATACATTGACATGAATCCACCATGGGTGTACATGTGTTCCCTATCCTGAACACCCCTCCCACCTCCCTCCCCATCCCATCCCTCTGGGTCATCCCAGTGCACCAGCCCTGAGCACCCTGTCCCATGCATCGAACCTGGACTGGCGATCTGTTTCACATATGATAATATACATGTTTCAAATCATCCCAACCTCACCTTCTCCCACAGAGTCCGAAAGACTGTTCTTTACATTTGTGTCTCTTTTGCTGTCTTGCACATAGGGTCATCGTTACCATCTTTCTAAATTCCATATATATGCGTTAGTATACTGTATTGGTGTTTTTCTTCAAAAGAAAAATGATTACGTTTTTATTTTATCATCTGCTTATTGTGGTAAATGGTGCAAATAGGAATTCCAGGTATTCAAAATACTTGATGATTTAACCTCCAGTATTGAAAAATACACAAAAATTAATTTCTGTGTGCTTTCTTCAGAAAGAATACCTCTGCACAAAGCAAGTTCAAATTGCCTGTTCAAATGGAGTGATGGTGACACCTGGTGGCCAGGAAGCATCAGCTAATTTTTGAGGTATGAATGTTTTATGTATAGTAGTAGTGGTGTTAATCACTCAGTCGTGTCTGACTCTTTGCGACCCCATGGACTGTGGCCCACCAGGCTTCTCTGTCCATGGGATTCTCCAGGCAATAATACTGGAGTGGATTGCCATTCCCTTCTCCAGAGGATCTTTCCGACCTGGGGACCAAACCCAGGTCTCCCGCACTGCAGGCAGATCCTTTATGTCTGAGCTGTCTCAGGGAAGATCCAGTTTTATGAATAGGCTCCGGTATTCTTGGGTTTCCCTGGTGGCTCAGCTGGTAAAGAAGGTGCCTGCAATGCAGTAGACCTGGGTTTGATCCCTGGGTTGGGAAGATCCTCTGGAGAAGGGAAGAGCTACCCACTCCAGTATTCTGGCCTGGAGAATTCCATGAACTGTATAGTCCATGGGGTCACAGAGAATCAGATACGACTGAGAAACTTTCATTTTTTTCAGTGATCTGTCTGCCAATTCAGCAACCATGGGTTTGATCCCTGGGTAGGGAAGATTCCCTGGAGGAGGGCATGGCAACCCACTCCAGACAGAGGAGCCTGGGGGTCGGAAACAGTTGGACACATCTGAGCAGGCACGCACGCGCATGCACTACTAACAAACTTTGCCGTTAAGTTGAAGTGGTGAAAACGAATGATTAACCAAGTTTCTGTATTTAAGTTGTGTGATTAGAGTGCATTGGAGAAAATCAGAGATGCTTTCTTTAGTGAGGGCTGGTGAAAACAGCTTTCACTTGAACTTGACACTGGAGGGTCCTGTGTTGACATGGTCCTGACTTGACATAGTCCTGTGTATGAGATCTCTGACTGCTGGAACACAGGCCTCTCCTCTATACCCGTGACTGTGAGTACACACACCTTCCTTTTTGCACTGACACACCTCAGCAAAGTAGTTTTTATTTATTATTAGGGGGCTCTCACATGGCGCATAATTGGAATCAGTAATGTGATTATCTTCCCAAGGTCACTCACAAGCAAACCTTTACTCTTGTTGGAGAAAGGAGAGTTGAAGTCATCCAAAGTACATGCTAAGCCCTGTAGTCGTGTCTGACTCCTTGCAAATCTATGGACTGGAGCCCGCCAGGCTCCTCTGTTCCTGGGACTTTCCCAGCAAGAATACTGGAGTGGATTGCCCTGCCCTCCTCCAGGGGATCTTCCTAACCCAGTGATTGAATCTACATCTCCTTTGGCTCCCGCATGGCAGGCAGATTCTTTACTGCTGAGTCACAGGGTAAATCCAGTCACCCAATTCCTCAGTTGCCCAGTTGTTTCTGACTCTTTGTGATACCATGGACTGTAGCATGCCAGGCCTCCCTGTCCCTCATTATCTGCTGGAACTTGCCCAAATTCATGTCCATTGAGTCAGTGATGCCATCCAGCCATCTCATCCTCTGATGCCCTCTTCTCCTTCTGCCTTCAATCTTTCCCAGCATCATGGTCTTTTCCAATTAGTCATCTGGTTTGCATCAGATTACCAAAATACTGGAGCTTCAGCATCAGTCCTTCCAAAGAGTATTCGGAAATACTCTTAAGAGTATTTCTCTTAAGATTGACTGGTTTGATCTCCTTGCTGTCCAAGGGACTCTCAAGACTTCTTCAGCACCTCAGTTTGAAGGCATCAATTCTTTGGCATTCTGCCTTCTTTATGGTCCAGCTCTCACAACCATATGTGGCCACTGGGAAGGCTGTAGCCTTGACTATATGGACCTTCGTCGGCAAAGTAATGCCTCTGCTTTCCAATACACTGTCTAGGCTTGTCATAGCTTTCCTGCAAAGAAGCAATCGTCTTCTGATTTCATGGCTGCAGTCACCATCCGCAGTGATTTTAGAGCCCAAGAAGAGGAAATTTGTCACTACTTCCACCTTTTCCCATGCAGTAATGGGGCCGGATGCCATGATCTTAGTTTTTTTTTTTAATACTTAGCCTTAAGCCGGCTCTTTCACTCTCCTTCTTCACCCTCATCAAGAGGCTGTTTATTTCTGCTTCACTTTCTCCCATCAGAGTGGTATTATCTGCATATCTGAGGTTGTTGATGTTTCTCCTGCCTGTCTTGATTCCAGCCTGTGCTTCATCCAGCCCAGCATTTGTCATGATGTGCTCAGTGTATGGGTTAAACAAACAGGGTGACAGCAGACAGCCATTCCTTTCTCAAGTCACTCAGTAGCCTTGACCAATACACTTTTAGACAGATATTTAATCCAATCAGGTTTTCTTCTTGGAAATAGAAATAGAAGCAGGGGACTGTGAGCCTCAATCTTCCTCCTATGTTCCAAGGACACAGAGGTTCTTGTACATAATAAAAAATATGTACATAAGTATAAGTAAATAAATTATTCTTGATGATTAGCATGTTATCCACGCTTTCTGGCTACGTCTAAGAAGCTGGTCTCTAAAAATCACTTGGAGGATAAAACACTCTATTAAAATTACTCTACTACTGAATTTTAAAAATGATTTTCATTGAGTTTTCAGGGCTGTGATGTGTATAATGATTTGCATCAGACCTTATCAGTTTCTCAGTGTTTCACGCATGTTGTGGATGCAATATGCATCGTCTCAGGCATGTAAGCATTTGTTTCTTTGAACATGAATGCACCAAAGGATGTGCAATTGACTATCACCTGAAAGTAAAGACATTTGTACTTAATTGCAAATGCAGCTTTAGAGTGTATTGTTGTCTGGCTATTGCCTTTTAAGTGGTTTTAAAAAACCACTATGTTGAAAAAGAGTCACACTTCTTACTGCAAGTGTGCAGTGCTTTGACATTGTCTTCCTGACTCCATACGCCGGGTGGTTGCCTGAGTATGAGGTGGCGGGCTGGGTGGCGTCTTTGGAAGCTGTGGAAGCACTTGGTCTTTCAGTTTGTTCAGATGCTAATAAAAATGCTGAAGCACACCTCCTGGGGGAAAAGGCGCTAAGAAATGCTTCTCAGGCACCTCCATTTGATATAGAAAGCAGAGCATTATTTTTACTTGATGGGTCTCATTTTGATGTGTAATAACTTTTCACTTGAGCATATCTACTTTGAAGGGAATATATTTGCATACAAATTCAAAATGAGAATCAATACTTAAATGATTGAAGTAAAACTAGTCCTTTGGGAAAGTATACATGACTTCTGGAAAAATATTAAAAATATGTGGGTATACTTACATGGATTGCACTGTACAGTCTGTAAGCAAAATAGGCTGGTTTGTCTCGAACACAGAGAACTAGGAAGAATCAGAGAGAAAAGAAGAAAGTTTGAGAGTAACAGGAAATATATTTTTTTCAAAATTTGGGAAACGAGAATAATTTTTTTTTTCCAGTTAGAATCCTGGAAAAGTGATATTTTGTGAGTTCTCTGTGGGATCCCTCATTGTACACTATATTACAATGTCAACATTTCAAATAGTGGTAAAGCCATAACCTCTTTACAAGGGAAGGAAATTAGCATGTATACAATGAATTTAAAGATGTGAGACCCCAATGACCTGAGAAGTCAAGGTTTCCTACTGTGAATACTGACAGCTGTTAGGAAGAGTGTAGGCTCATGAAAGACATCAGCTTGCCACTGTAACAGGAGCTGATGCATTTTTTTCTCTACAGAGAATGCAGAGAAATGTCTAAATAATTAAATTCAGGGGAAACTAACTCCATCACTTTAATTCAACTGAATGCATCTTTATGTCAGTCAGAGCTAATCAGCACTGATGCCTCAAGTAGATGATTACTCACCAATAGCTACTAGCAGCTCTCGGAAGTATCCCTCGTAACACTCATTAATGGCGTCTACTATGTCTTGCCCGGAAATATTCTGAAATTCCTGGAAAACTTTAACAAATTGATTCAAAAGAGATTTTTATGAATATTATCAATTTAAAATGTAGGTATTGATTCGACTGGTTATACCCAGGAAGGCAAATAAAGTGCAGGTATCTGCAAATAAGTGTTGGGTTGGAGGGGGCCACCTTTTAAATTATTATAGACTTCTGTGTGTTATGGATAGAAGGAAAAAAACACAAAAAAGTACTTTAAAAAAAATACTGCCTAACCTGCCTCTTGAGAAACCTGTATGCAGGTCAGGAAGCAACAGTTAGAACTGGACATGGAACAACAGTCTGGTTCCAAATAGGAAAAGGAGTACATCAAGGCTGTATATTGTGACCCTGCTTATTTAACTTCTATGCAGAATACATCATGAGAAACGCTGGGCTGGAGGAAGCACAAGCTGGAATCAAGATTGCCGGGAGAAATATCAATAACCTCAGATATGCAGATGACACCACCCTTATGGCAGAAAGTGAAGAAGAACTGAAAAGCCTCTTGATGAAAGTGAAAGAGGAGAGTGAAAAATTTGGCTTAAAGCTCAACATTCAGAAAACTAAGATCATGGCATCTGGTCCCATCACTTCATGGGAAATAGATGGGGAAACAGTGGAAACAGTGGAAATAGTGGCTGACTGTATTTCTCTGGGCTCCAAAATCACTGTAGATGGTGATTGCAGCCATGAAATTAAAAGACACTTACTCCTTGGAAGGAAACTTATGACCAAACTAGACAGCATATTAAAAAGCAGAGACGTTACTTTGCCAACAAAGGTCCGTCTAGTCAAGGCTGTGGTTTTTCCAGTGGTCATGTATAGATGTGAGAATTAGACTGTTAAGAAAGCTGAGTGCCAGAGAATTGATGCTTTTGACCTGTGGTGTTGTGGAAGACTCTTGAGAGTCCCTTGGACTGCAAGGAGATCCAACCAGTCCATCCTAAAGGAGATCAGTCCTGGGTGTTCATTGGAAGGACTGATGCTGAAACTGAAACTCCAATAATTTGGCCACCTGATGTGAAGAGCTGCCTCATTGGAAAGGACCCTGATGCTGGGAAAGATTGAGGGCAGGAGGAGAAGGGGACAACGGAGGATGAGATGGATGGATGGCATCATCGACTCAATGGACATGGGTTTGGGTGGACTCTGGGAGTTGGTGATGGACAGGGAGGCCTGGTGTGCTGAGGTTCATGGAGTCGCAGAGTCAGACACGACTGAGTGACTGAACTGAACTGAACTGAAAAAAAATAAGAGAAACAGGGACTTCCCTGGTGGTCCAGTGGCTAGGACTCCAGTTTCCACTGCGTGGGATGCAGGTTTGATCCCTGGTCAAGGTAGTAAGATCCCTCATGCCACGTGATGCAGCCAAAAAAAAAAAAAACAGTTAAAAAATAAGAGAAATAGAAAGGTACACAGCAGCTTGGGGAAAGCCAAAGAAAGCACTTTTAAAACCAATAAGGCAGCTTCACGTGAATCACAAGTTCAGTAACAATGGCCTTGGCTCCTTCCAGACTTATTAACCTGTGTTCAGCATATTCCGTTTAAGACAACACATGACACAGTGAACCGGACACAGCTAATATATGTAAGTTCTTCAGCAAAACCAGAGATGGCTTTCAAAGGTTTAGTACTGAAAGGCTGTTGCTGTTCAGTCGCTGAGTCGTGTCCGACTCTGCGACCCCATGAACTGCTATAATTCAGTTACTGGCAGGATAAAATTCTACAGAAACTTCCTTCCTGAGCAATGCTAACAGATGAGGCGTGTCTGCACAAACACAATCTAAAATAGGTGGCTTGAGAGGCCTGGCTCTCCTCTATTTGTAGTGGCTTGAGAGGCCTGGCTCTCCTCTATTTGTAACCCCTTCCCCGCAGCCGCCTGCTTGCTTCTTACTGCCCGGCCGGAGGGGAGCTGTAAGGGAGGAGGAGATTACCCAGGCCCAGCTGCTGGCAGCCCTTGTTGCACAGCATCACTTGCAGAAGCGTCTTGTGCTGCCCCGTCCTCTGCTGGCATGCCTGCCACAGCACCTGAAACACCGCAGGCCGCCCAGTAGCACCGCAGCCCCGGGCTGCCCGACAGAGGCCCCACAGCTGCCCTGGGCGCTGGCTCTAGTTACCATCGCGTCTTGAGTGGCCGTGGCTGGGTCCGCGTATCCCTCCTCCCTGGTTCCCTGGGAAGCAAGCACAGGTTTCCCCTGTCAGTGTTGTTTGTTTTTAAATCGGAGCATGGTTGATTTTTCATACTGTTTATGTTCATGGGGTTCTTGCAGCAAGAACCCTGGAGAGCTTTGACATTCCCTCCTCCAGGGGACCGCATTTTGTCAGAACTCTCCACTGTCATCCGTCCATGAAGCTCCAATGTTTTGGCCACCTGATGTGGAGAGCCGACTCTGGAAAAGACCCCGATGCGGGGAAAGATTCAGGGCAGGAGGAGAAAGGGGCAACAGAGGATGAGATGGTTGGACGGCATCACCGACTCAATGCACGTGGGTTTGAGCAAACTCTGGGAGATGGTGAAGGACAGGGGGCCCTGATGTGCTACAGTCCATGGGGTTGCAAAGAGTTGGACATGACAGCAACGGAACAACAGCAATACTTGCTTTACAATGATGCATTAGTCTCTGTTGTAAAGCAGAGTGAACCAGCCACATGTATACATGTATCACTCCCTCTTGAACGTAGGATAACTGGGTGACAAGCCTTTCAACCATTAAACATAGTGGAGATTCCTGTGAAAGTGCTGTCACTAGTTAGTCACTAGAGTTAGTCTACATTTCTTGGATACTTTATAAAATGCTGGCCTGTTAAAAAATGTGGGCACTTTTCGTTTTTTCTTTGCAGCCGAGGTAATCTTTCGAAGGAGTTGATGAGCTTTTCACTTTGCCAAACCTCTGTGCAGTATCTTCTCCTCCCTCCAAACAGCGTCTGCTGCCTGGCCGGCTGGTAGAGACAGGATTTAATGATGTCAGGAGAAAAACGCACAAAGAAAGCATGAGTTAATACTGGACCTCTGACTCGGAACATCACACATAGGCAGCAGGAAAATAACCATGAAATCCAGATTTTGTGCAGTGAGAAGAGAGCATTTTGTACTTTGTTTCACTCCTGCCTCTTCATCATATAAGGAAAGAACAGACATGGCCAAGCTGACCTAAGAGGGCATTTCGAACAGGATGGAAGGAGGGCTCACCAATGCAAGGTCCTCTGGTCCCTGAAGGTCATGAGGACACAGAAGAAAGACAGGTGGGAGAGACATGTGATACCCCAGTTTATGTCATGCTTCCTGTGGGAGATCTAAAGGAAACACGCTTTTTGAACTTTGCAGAAATACTGAGTACTCTGTCTTTTGCTCTTATTGTTTTTTGGACTCTGCAAATGAACTCAGTGATATGGGACAGGGCAGAAGCATCTCCATCCGGGAATCCCATGAAGGATCCCAAGTGTCTCACCACTCCTGATGGAGAACCCTGACTGCTGGCTCAGAAGCACACGGGGGAGCCTGACAGGTGGAGCGGCTTATGGCCATGGCAGGCAGACCCCTCCAGCAGCCCAGGGCCATGAGGCAGGCCGCAGAGGCTGGAACTGTGTAGGGGACACAGCTGGACATGATGGGATTCTTCAGTGAGAGCAAAGGTGAGGCCAGACCATCAGGAGAGGTTACCTGCTTCTGACCAAATTGAAACAGAGAGAGGGCTATCCATTAACCAGCTGAGGCTCATCTTCTCAGTGGAATTTGCTCTGATAGCTGTGGCATGTCTTAACGGACCCACCATCCCCTCCCCTGCTGTATTCTTCATCAGCTAACATGCTGGGAAATGCACCAATTTATTAGCTTTCTCCTGTCTGAATCTCCCCTCTAAAATGCAAGCTTCTTAAGACTGGGGTCTTTGCCTCTTTTGATAATTCCCAGTCATCCTTGGCATACTGAAGGCTTTTGATGAATACTCACGGAATCAATACTACATAAAGGAAAGAAAGATAAAGAAATACCTTTGATGTCACAGAAGTTAAACATCAGTTAGTAGAGATGGGAAGATTTTCTGGATCACTGAAGTGTTTTTAGTGATTTCCGATCACATGATGTAACTAAGTTGTGAGAAATATTTAAGAATTTTCTGAAGTTCTGTGCATCTGATATTTTTTTGAGAGGTAAGAATTTTGGACATTTAACCTGAAATGGGGCCCATATGTGTACTTCTTTGTGCAATTAATTGCCAAAAGCACTTTAAACAGACAGGAAGATTAAGAAAATCAGCTAAGGTGTGATGTAGCTTTTCCCACCAAGCAGATTTGGTCACATAAAAAGCCTAGGTTAAGACAGTAGCCTGTTAGGTGATGCAAATGCCAGAGAAATGGCATAAACAGGTATTTGGGTTAGGAATAGAATAAACATGTGACAGGAAGAAATTAACGGGGTTCAAGTCTAGCCAGAAGTGTCGGGAACAAGCACAGTGGCTGCAGATGGTCCCAGGGGCTCCAAAATCACTGCAGATGGTGACTGTAGCCAAGAAATTAAAAGATGCTTCCTTGTTGGAAGAAAAGCTATGGGAAACATAGATGGCATATTAAAAAGCAGAGACGTTACTTCACTGACAAAGGTCCATAGAGTCAAAGGTATGGTTTTTCCAGTAGTCATGTATGCATGTGAGAGTTGGCCCATAAAGAAGGCTGAGTGATGAAGAATTGATGCTTTTGAACTGTGGTGCTGGAGAAGACTCTTGAGAGTTCCTTGGGCTACAAGGAGATCAAACCAGTCAATTCTAAAGGAAATCAGTCCTGAATATTCACTGGAAGGACTGATGCTGAAGCTGAAACTCCAATACTTTTTGGTCACCTGATACGAAGAACTGACTCATTGAAAAAGACCCTGATGCTGGGAAAGGTTGAAGGTGGGAGGAGAAGGGGACGACAGAGGATGAGATGGTTGGATGGCATCACCGACTCAATGGACATGAGTTTGAGTAAATTCTGGGAGTTGGTGATGGACAGGGAGGTCTGGCGTGCTGCAGTCCACAGAGTCGCAAAGAGTCAGACATGACTGAATGACTGAACTGAACAACTGAACTGATTCATTGGAAGCGTTGATGCTGAAGCTGAAGCTCCAATACTTTTGTCATCTGATATGAAGATCTGACTCGCTGGAAAAGACCCTGATGCTGGGAAAGATTGAAGGCAGGAGGAATAAGGGGATGACCGAGGATGAGATGGCTGGATGGCATCATCGACTCAATGGACATGAGTTTGAGCATGAGTCTATCTTCTATCTATCATTTATCATCCATCATCATCTACGTAAGGAATCTACCTGATGTATCTATTTGTCTATCTATCATCTATCTATAGAGAGAGCTTGGGGCAGAGAGAACAAGGATCCCAGCTGGGGGAGAGAGCGGTCTTGGCCCTGTGACAGCACCCTCAGTTGGCTGGTTGTTTCAGCTGTCTCCATTATTAGCAACTCTCAGGTTCACAGGCCTGTAGGACGCAATTCCGTTTCCTCTCTGTGAGATATCTGGACAGGTTCTCTGGCATGGGGTGTACCAGAGATGTGGTCAGCGGACATGCTGGGCTTCATCAGTTCCCAAACTCACTTCTCATATGTTTCCAGTCCTCTAAGTTTACTGATTCAGATCCTAAACTAGGAGTCCAAAATGCGTCATTAATGTAGAAATCAGAAACTAGTGGTCAAATTTCAAAATATTTAAAAATTTATGAGAAATTATACGTTTTACTAAGCATTGCACAGGGCTCCTGATCTTGAATAAGACTGTTCACAAAGGGTATTCTACCATGTCTTTTATAAGTTTCTTACATCCAGTTTCAATTGCGAGTTAAGTAACTTCTGTAAAATCTATATTATACTCATAAGGTGTGTTTTACAGCTTAAGGGAAATATACTGTGAAACCTCCTAAATATATAATATTTAAGTACACGTTATTAATTTTTCTTGGCTTCTTATAAAATCTAGAACTCTCCTCATTTTTTATATTCTATGTTGAAAGGGCAATTTTAATGCTCTGAAAAGCTATTTTAAGGTTAAACACACACACACACTTAAGTTCCAACTCTAGAAATTGAACTTCAGAAGTAATACTTTATCCTGTGAAGTCATAATCAAAATCAGGTGAAAGCCAGTGATAAAATAAATTGTGTGTTATTTCAAAATATATATGTCTATACAGATAATATTATTGCATATACATGTATAATCTATAAAAAATAAAGCATTATTGTTTAATTTCAGGAAAAAGGAACTGCAGTTTTGCCAAGGAAAAATATTGTGCACTGATTTTTTTCCCTCTGTGACTTATTTTCTCTCATGTTTAATTTTCAGAACTGTGTGTTTTTCCTGAAATACAGAGCGTTTGCTTTATAAAAATCCACTGCAATCCTCATTCTTGGATATCAGCTACTTTTAGGTGGTTTGTAGCTCAGCCTTTGAAGAAAGGCAGAGATTCTGAGAGGCAGAGCACTTGATCACTGGAATATCACCAAATAGAAACAGAAGTGGAGAGGAATCAGGCAGGGATGGAAACAATCCCACTTACAATTGTGCTACCCTGTTTTCGGGCTAGGCTCTTACTCAGCAGACGTGAGGTGTCGGCCCAGCCACAGGGCCTGTCTGAGCTTCCAGGGAGGAGGTGCCGTCAGCACGCTTCCCTGGGGAGCTGATTCTGAGATGCGGACCAGCAGTTATCTTTGTTTTTTTGCCTTAAATTTTTTGTTGTTGGTGTTTAGTTGATTTATAATGTTGTGTTAATTTCAGGTGTATAGCAAAGTGATTCAGTTATATACATATCAAAAAGATACATGCACCCTAATGTTCACTGCAGCACTAGTCACAAGAGCCAGGACCTGGAAACAGCCTAAATGTCCGTCAACAGATGAATGGATAAAGAAGATGTGGTGTGTACACACGATGGAATATTACTCAGCCATAAAAACAATGAAGTAATGCCATTTGCAGCAACATGGATGGGACTAGAAATTGTCATTCTGAGTGAAGTTAAATCAGAGAAGGACAGTCATCAAGACAGTATGGTACTGGCACAAAGACAGAAATATAGATCAATGGAACAGAATAGAAAGCCCAGAGATAAATCCACGAACCTATGGTCACCTTATCTTTGACAAAGGAGGCAAGGATATACAATGGAAAAAAGACAACCTCTTTAACAAGTGGTGCTGGGAAAACTGGTCAACCACCTGTAAAAGAATGAAACTAGAACACTTTCTAACACCATACACAAAAATAAACTCAAGATGGATTAAAGATCTAAATGTAAGACCAGAAACTATAAAACTCCTAGAGGAGAACATAGGCAAAACACTCTCCGACATAAATCACAGCAGGATCCTCTATGACCCACATCCCAGAATTTTAGAAATAAAAGCAAAAATAAACAAATGGGACCTAATGAAACTTAAAAGCTTTTGCACAACAAAGGAAACTATAAGCAAGGTGAAAAGACAGCCCTCAGATTGGGGGAAAATAATAGCAAATGAAGCAACAGACAAAGGATTAATCTCAAAAATATACAAGCAACTCCTCCAGCTCAACTCCAGAAAAATAAATGACCCAATCAAAAAATGGGCCAAAGAACTCAACAGACATTTCTCCAAGGAAGACATACAGATGGCTAACAAACACATGAAAAGATGCTCCACATCACTCATTATCAGAGAAATGCAAATCAAAACCACAATGAGGTACCATTACACACCAGTCAGGATGGCTGCTATCCAAAAGTCTACAAGCAATAAATGCTGGAGAGGGTGTGGAGAAAAGGGAACCCTCTTACACTGTTGGTGGGAATGCAAATTAGTACAGCCACTATGGAAAACAGTGTGGAGATTTCTTAAAAAGCTGGAAATAGAACTGCCATATGACCCAGCAATCCCACTTCTGGGCATACACACCGAGGAAACCAGATCTGAAAGAGACACGTGTACCCCAATGTTCATCGCAGCACTGTTTATAATAGCCAGGACATGGAAGCAACCTAGATGCCCATCAGCAGACGAATGGATGAGGAAGCTGTGGTACATATACACCATGGGATATTACTCAGCCATTAAAAAGAATTCATCTGAATCAGTTCTAATGAGATGGATGAAACTGGAGCCCATTATACAGAGCGAAGTAAGCCAGAAAGATAAAGACCATTACAGTATACTAACACATATATATGGAATTTAGAAAGATGGTAACGATAACCCTATGTGCAAAACAGAAAAAGAGACTCCTATGTATAGAACAGACTTGTGGACTCTGGGAGAAGGCGAGGGTGGGATGTTTCAAGAGAACAGCATTGAAACACGTATATTATCTAGGGTGAAACAGTTCACCAGCCCAGGTTGGGTGCATGAGACAAGTGCTCGGGCCTGGTGCACTGGGAAGACCCAGAGGGATTGGGTGGAGAGGGAGGTGGGAGGGGGGACCGGGATGGGGAATACATGTAAAAAAAAAAAAAAAAAGATACACTATTGTTGTGATTAAAAAAATAATAATAATAAATAAATTAAAAACAAACAAACAAACAAACAAAAAAAAAGATACACTATGGTTGTGATAAAAAAAAAATCAGAGAAGGACAAATATCGCATGATATCACTTATATGTGGAATCTAAAAAAATGGTACAAATAAGCTTATTTACAAAACAGGGGCCGTGTAACTGTGGGAAGTGCTTGGGACCAACTGTGGACCAGAGAGAAAAGAAGCCCGGCTTGGAAGGAGAGTCTGGACTGTGATACAGCCCCAGTGAATACAAAATAGTCCTCATGAAATGCATTTTTATCCTACTTTTGTTTTTCTGTAATAAATTGAAATACATTTCTGTTTGGATACTAAGAAAATAAAGATATGTTTGCTATTAAGATGCAACTTGTGGATTTATAACAGGACTGTTGTCTTTACTCTGTTGGGGCAGTACTAACGCCAATGTGAATTTCTGACTGGAAACTGTCGTTTTAATTTACATTATGGAGTGTCAGTCCTAGAAAGCCAAGAAATGATGACCCTTCTAAGTTGAGAGAACCTTGTAGCTAATCTTACAATATTTATAAGTTAGAAAGTATTCAATTGATGCTTTGCCAAGTGAGATTATTTTTAATATTGATAATTATTATTAAAAACTTTTTTCATGTAATGACTCAACTTCTGTCACAAATTTAAATAGGCTTATAGCTTAGTTGGTAAAGATTCCACCTGCAATGCAGGAGACCCTGGTTCAATTCCTGGGGCAGAAAGATCCCCTGGAGAAGGGATAGGCTGCCCACTCCAGTGTTCTTGGGTTTCCCTGATGGCTCAGCTGGTAAAGAATCTGCCTGCAATGCGGGAGATCTGGATTTGATCCCTGAGTTGGGAAGATCCGCTGGAGAAGGGAAAGGCTACCCACTCCAGTATTCTGGCCTGGAGAATTCCATGGACTGTAAGTCCATGGGGTCACAAAGGGTCAGACACAACTGAGCTGCTTATTATTATTTATTATTTCCACAGCAGCTTACACAGAAGCCTCCTGTTGGGCAATGTAAAGCCAAGCTCTGTGTTCTCTATTGATGTTATCATCCCAGAGAGTAGAATCCTCAGAATAGGACTTGATGGATTATACGGGCAGTTTTGTGAGGTACACAGCCATGCTGTGCAAATCCACTTAAAACAATATTTGATTTTGTTTTTACAAATGGAAAGTTTTACTTTAATTGTAAGGTCAATGGATTTGCTTAGTTCTATGCCATTTTTTTTTTCAGTTGAACAATTTGAAAAAAGCCAACCAGCCCATCACCAAATCTCTCCTCCATTGGAGCAGCTAGTACTTGACTTCCTCAGAAACCTTTCCTTTTGCGCTTCTTTATTCCTTGGGCACAAAAAAAATTTTTTTAATTAAAATTCTTGGTGCTTGGCAATGAATGGAATTCTCAGTTGGTGTTACAATCGGGCTGATGTATTTACCCATTTTTTAACTAAATGATACCAAATATTGTGAAGTACCATGAAGCTTTTAATCACAATAAACACATATTTGATTGGACATGTGAAGCTACCCTGGATGAGAAAGATGACAAAATTTGAAGATTAAAAAGGAAAATAAAGTAGTTATTTAAGTTTGCACACTGCCATTAGTATTTTAAAGGAAAAAAAATCACTATCAATAGTTGTTTTCTCATTTTAACTCTTTTCCATGCATAGACTAGTTCTAGCCAGGGTAGAAATAATTTTTACTTTTCTCATGCAAAGTGCTACATAAAGCTGCCCATTTTTTAAAAACAAAGTTTTGTAGAATAAAAAAAAAAGAAATTTCCCAAGGTAAAGATTTGAACCTGAAGTTTCAGAAGAGAAATTAGTGTACGGCTGTGGCGGGTCTGTCTACTGTGGGATTTCCTGGTGGCTCAGACAGCAAGGGATATGCCTGCAATGTGGGAGACACAGTTTTGATACCTGGGTAGGAAGACCCCCTGGAGGAGGAAATGGCAACCCACTTCAGTGTTTTTTCCTGGAGAATCTCATGGACAGAGGAGCCTGGTAGGCTACAGTCCATGGGGTTGCAAAAGAGTTGGACATGATTAAGCAAGTAACACTGTCACTATTTTCCAGAATGGGCGGGAGATTTTCTGCACTTTTCCCTGACCCGATATCCCCTTGTTTTCTTTTATTCGGTAAGTTCTATAACCTGGGCTGGAACACCAGGAACTCCACACACTGCTCCCTGCTGGAAGGTGGCTGGTCAGCAATCTGACTGATGACACACAGGGACGGGGGCAACTTTGCTTGACCAAATTCAAGCCCCTGGCTTCCTGCGCCATGTCATCAGACACTGAGGCTGTGTCTGAACAATTCGGTCAATACAAACTCAAGCAGAAGATGGAATTACCGACATAAAGAGCTGGTAAGGAGGGCTCCCTGGTGCCTCAGATGGTAAAGAATCCCCCTGCAATGCAGGAGACACAGGTTTGATCCCTGAGTTGGAAAGATCCCCTGGAGAGGGAAATGAAAATTCACTGCAGTATTCTTGCCTGGTTAATTCCATGGACAGAGGCGCCTGTGGGCTATAGTCCACGGGGTCACAAAGAGTCAGACACGACTGAATGATTAACACTTGTACTAAGGAGGGAAAACTAGTTTTCAATAAATAGAATCTCTTAACTTAAAGTCATATGGGAGGCTCCTGGATCCCAGTTTCCAGTATTTCATCTGGTGGTTCTGACTGTTCACCAGATGGGTGGATCCTGATGCCTTAGATGGGTGCACATTTACTAATTGTAACTGTAATATTGTCAGTCTGTTAACTCCCTCATAATATTTAATCAATAAATTTATTGATTAAATTTATTGCATTTATCTATAACTATGATCATTTTACTTAGAGTAGATTGTTTTGAGGACAGAGATAGTGTCTTATTCATGCTTGTTTGTCTCTATATTCAACCCAAGTTTCCATTGTAGTGCCTTGAATTTACTGGCATTCAGTAACTGTTATTACTGGAGTTTCCTGTCCTATTTTTTGAAAACAAAACATATCTATTTTTCAGTAGTGCAAAGTGGAGCAAATCTAAGAATCTCCTACCTGGACCAAGCTCATGAGCATGTCTCTGAAGTGTCCTGAGGTCTCTGAGTAGATGTCCTCCTGTAGGTCGCGGCTGTATTCTGGGGAGGGCACACCCATATGGAAGGGTTAGTCACGACGGAACCGCGCATCCCTGTATTTTCCGAGGTCAGCGCTGCTCCCATACGGGTGACATTTCTTGGTCTTCTACCACCTTCTACTCACATGAGGCCCATGAACAGTCCACCCAACAAAACTGACCCCAACGATAACACAGGCCCAAGTCTACTTTCTTATAAAAATACTATCTCTATTCCAAAATTGAAAACCAACATTGAGAATCATTTCACATTCTGTAACCCTTAAAATTCAGGACACTCCTCTCTCTTTAGACAACTGCCTGGCCCAGCAGTCCCCCAAGTCTTTGTCTCGTCTTAATATTTTCAATGAAGGGTCTTAATTCTCTCCCCCGGGAAATTCTTGTTTTTGTCTGAGTGAAATGGAGCTGACTGTCTGGAACATTTTGTTTACAATCGTTGTCACATGATACATGATGCAATGGAATTTAAGGTCTTAAAGCTTTTTTGAATATGAAAGTAGTTAACCTTTCAGCTTTTAAAATGCATAAAAATCAGATTCTGAGGTGGATTCAGTGATTATGAGGTTTATGAAAAGTGAAGTTGTTGCCTGTATTTGTAGAACTCACTGAGTGATCATTACACTTTGCTTTGTTCTGTCTTCATAACTGTCCCTCCGGGGTGAGAGACAAGGTCTTCCCTGAGCCACTGACCTGAGTGCTCGCAGTCTTAAACTAAAGTCCACCTCGTATAAACTCATCATTATTTTCCTGGAAACTTTGCTTCACTCAATTATCTTGGGATCGCTTTGTTTTTAGTGCCCTAATCACCAACTCTACTTAGACAATTCATTAGACTTGAGTGAGTGCTATCTCACATGTGAGTGTCTTAGATAATTCTTTAAAATACATAAACTGGAATATTTTTCCTGTTATTTGAAAAATATGAAGTTTATAACATGTATAAAACATATGTACAAATGTGTATTTCCTTACGCAAATAGTAGGCTTCTCGCATCTGGAAAATTTCTCTGTTTGTTCTCGAAGCCAATATGTCAATGAGGCAGTTCTCATCAGTGCCTGCTCCCTGGAAGGACAGAGCAAGAGACACATGAAGGCACCTCCACGGGGAGTAGCCCTGTAGTGAACGGATGCGGCCCTGGTGCTCTGGGAGGAGCTGAGGGCGGGCGTGTGCTCAGGGTCAAGACGGGTCTGGCTTTGGTATCGACTAGGTGCGTGGTACTCAAGAAGATGGTATCATCTGAAATGAGTTCCTTCATAAAACAAAACAGCATGGGCATCATGTGGGAAAAGATGTTTAAACAGCACTCATGACACTCCTTTTCTTTGCTGCTAGAATGTCAATTCTTGGGCAAACTGGTACTTGATTCTGGGTCCCTAATTCCCCAAGGATGGTGCAGAGACCTCACCCCGGATGGTGCAGAGACCTCACCCCACCTCTCCCCAGGTGTGGAGTTTTGTACCATTTGCCTGAATATTTGGACTGGGTACTCTCTGCAGCTTCTTCCAGTCATAGGATATTCCTCCCTGATGGTGATTTGAAAGACAACACACCTTTTTCAGAGAGCTTCAGAAGTCCATACTATTTTATGAGACACTGAAAAAATATAACAGTTTCATCTAAACATCGACATAGGACTTTCTCCTTAGGTTTTTAGTTACATCATTTTGCAAGAGGTACAGACTGACATATGCAACCCTTAAAAAGACATTAGTTGAAATTCATATTTTATATAAGGCCTGTGCTGATCTACCGGTCTTCCCTGGTGGCTTAGCGGTAAAGAAACCACCTGCCAAGTAGGAGATGCTGGTTTGATCCCTGGGTTGGGAAGATCCGTTGGAGAAGGAAATAGCAACCCATTCCAATATTCTTGCCTGGGAAATCACATGGACAGAGGAGCCTGGAGGGCTACAGTCCATGGGGTCACAAAGAGTTGGACGTGAGTTAGCGACTAAAACAAACAACAATGCTGATTTGTGAATATGATGGCCATGACCCAGGTTCCCTAATTTTCTCCCTCTCCCTTTTCGTGTTGTTCCCAGATGGGGGAAATCAGGTCATTGACAGGCATCCCCGTGGAATGATTGCAGCATCTCTATAGGTGTCTCATTTAGCATTTGGAAAGATCTGGAAAGATGTGAAAAGTCATCTGTCCCCCTTCCCTAGCCAACAAACTTCTGACAAATCTGTAGTCAGTTTCTCTCATGACTTGCCTGTAAGAAAGAATTGTTCTGATCCTTTAGAAGCAAGATTCTGCTACATTTGAGCAGTAGTTTTGGTAAAGGGCTAATTTAGGGTCATCTATGTTTTGCCTCTGCCTCAGCATTACTGACTCATTACTTTATGAGCCCAATGTATACAATAGTTTAAAGAGATTCACAAGAATGCTAACATTTCCACTTAACATAGGAAGACAAACAGACTGATGCTGCTGTTTAGTCACTAAGTTGTGTCCTACTTTTTGTGACCCCATGTACTGTAGCCCGCCAGGCTCCTCTGTCCATGGGATTCTCCAGGCAAGAACACTGGAGTGGGTTGCTACGCCCTCCTCCAGGAGTTCTTCCTGATCCAGAAATCGAACATGTGCCTGCTTCACTGGCAGGTGAATTCTTTACCCCTGAGCCATCGGGGGAGCCAAAAGCCATGCTGGGGAAGACATGAACGCAAACAGCCCCAAAGAAGCTCATTTCCTCTCTCCTCTTAGCAGCTCTGCATGGGGCCGGGTCATGGGTCTGAGTTTGCTCAAAAGAAGAGTCAAGTGATCCTACTGCTGGGCTATGGAGGCCCCCACCCCTTTCATGACAACCCCCTCTCCCCAAGTGTTTCTCTCATTTCTTCTTTGCTGACATGCCCCCTCCCTCCCTGATCACATGTGGCAGTATCACAGGGTGACCCGCTCTACCTTCATGGCATGCCACAGCTCGTGGGCATCATATGAGGGTGGGGGGTACATGAGGCCGACCATGACGTCCTTGAAGTGATTGGAAAGCTTCTCCTTCAAGTCCCCAACCAGGTCCTGTGCAGGGAAAGCAAATACTTGCATTATACCACTTCCCAAGTTTGTGGGGAAAATGGGATAATTGCAGAAAGTCTTCTAGCAGGATTCCCCTCTCCTTGCCTCTTCACATAATAGCTAGTTTGGTTTGGGTTCACACGTGTGTACGTGGGTTACACGAGATGATGGACTTGAGGGTTTGAAAATGAGTGATGTGGTCATATCTCCACTCCAGATGTCATCTGTATGGATATTCTAGTTACACAAACACAGAGCCATGATCCTTCTTTAATTCCAACACAACTCCTCTTCTGAGCTCATAAATAAAAGTTAAAATCTGAAATGCTTAAAATAAATAAAAGTTGAAACTGAAAGCATTTCAGTAGTGAGTATAATAGTTTTGTGTGGAATTAATGAAATATTAGTCCTTAAAGAAAACATTCATTTTGTTTTACCATTAAAGCAGTGTCTTTTAGTAAAGAGTTTCTGGTTATACTGTTGCCAAAAAGCTTGTGTAAATAAGTTAAGTAAGCATTCTTGGAACTTTCTTCAAATAGTCACCTGAAAAAGAAAAACAAGCATGCCAGATTTTTGCCCTTGAAATACAGGCATAAAGGCATGAAACTGATGGTTTTAATTTAGTTTTCATTTTACTCAATAGAGTAGATGTTTAAAAACATAAAATATGCACAATTTATGTTTTCTATGGTTACAAAGATATCTGAAAGATTTTTTAAATGTACCATTTCTTGTTAAAATGTACAGTATATATTCAGTTATATGTTAAAATATGCAACAGTTTAGTTATGAGATGATTCAATAAGATAATTCAATAAGGCACAATAAGCTTTGTTACAGTAAAAAGCGAAATGGTCATCATTTTCATTTTATTTGGTATAATCTGGCAGTATATTTCCTGTGTTTCTTTTTGAGCAAAGAAAAGCATCACCCACAAGGTGGGTAATTGGCAACACAGAGAATCTATTGAATTGTTGCTCAGGTCAAGGCAGTTTGTTCAATGTCTGGAGTTGTGGCTGGTCTTGGAGTGTGTATAAGACTTATAAGATCGCCTCCTCACGGAGCTGGTATTCCAGTCAGTTCCCTTGTCTTTTGCCATCAGTTGTTTCTCATTTCCGAAACGAACAGTTCTCTGTGCTGTCAGGAGGCAGGCAAAAGCAATGATAAAGCCATCGTGAACACGTGAGCTTGTGAAGGCTGTTCTCCTGCCCACATGAGCCCAGCACATCGTTTTGAGGGAAAGACAGCAGTGGACTCAGTGGGTTTTTATCTCTACTTTTTCTCAGACAAGATGGTAAGAGCTAGCGAAAAACAACACACAGTCTGTTTTCAAGAGGACCCACATCCATAAACATCCCAGACATAATGTAAGTGAAAATGCGAGCTAATACTTTGGAAGGCTCTGATAGTCATTTTTCACATCATAAGATCCTAAACAGTAGTTCAAGAGGGTTCTAAAAATTCAGGGGCGCGAGACAGTCAGACAAGGGAGAAGTTGCTTTGGGATGGGCGTTCAGAAGTTGCTTCTGATAGTTAACTTTATTCACTTTTGCTGTGCCATTAACATTGTTCTAGATGTTTCTGTGAAGCTGTTTTTAGATGATTTGCTTTTTAAGATGATTAACATTTAAATCAGTGGACTTCCAGTTAAGTGGATTGCCCTCCACAATATGGGCGAGGCTCCTTCAGTCAGCTGAAGACTTCCCCTCAAGAGTTCTGCCAGCAGCCGGTCCTTGACAGCAGGCTCCTACCTGCTCTGAGCCTCCAGCTTGCCTGAGTCTTGGCTGGCCTGCCCTGTGGATTTTGGCCTGTCCGCCTCCACAGTCATGTGGCTAATCCCTGACATCTCCCTGCATCTAGGTGCCTGTGGGCACCCTTCCAATAGCGAGGACCTTGCATAGTCAGAACGGCACGAGCGTGACATACTTCCTTTAGCATGGCTCATGACTTGTCTCTCAGTGAGTGTGTTCTCCCGCCACAGCAAAATCAACTGCAAACTAATAGTGAACATGTATCTGGGGAATCCCAGATGCTTTATTTAATGAACCTGAAAATGTAACATGTCAAAATTCGTGACATGCAGCTGAGACAGTGATTGAACATCCATTTGAGCTTTAAATATTTATATTAGAAGGGAAACAGGCAGTCAATGACCTAATCTTCCACCTCAAGAAAACTAGAAAGAGAAGAATACATTAAATCCAGTATAACAAGGGAGGAAATGGCAGGATGGAATGCAGACTGTGATGGATTAATGTAACTGTATTACACATGTATGAAATATATATTCATATAGTTTAAATTTTAAAAAATGGAGGAAATGAGAATAAGATCATAATTAAATGAAATAGAAAATTAGTAAATACTAAAACTGTCAATGAAATCAAAACCTAATTTTCTGAATGTTAATAAAATGCTAATTAGACTGACAAGAAAAAAGGAAATGCAAAAATATTGGCAATGTAAGAGTAACATACACAAATACTACAGATATTAAAGGAAAAAAGAGAATATTATGAACAGATTTATACCACTATATATATTTTTAGTTGAAATATAATTTATTTATAATGTTGAGTTAGTTTCAGGTGATTCAGATATAGATATATATATATTACATGTTTATATGTTCTTTTTCATAATCTATCTCTGAGGTTATTATAAAATATTGACTAAATTTCCCTGTGCTACACAGTAGGTCCTTGTTGTTTACCTATTTTATATATAGTGATGTGTATATGTTAATCCATCCTACTAACTTATCCTTCCCTCCCCCACATTTACTCTTGGCAACCACAAGTCTGTTCTCTGTGTGTGTGAGTCTGTTCCTGCTTTGTAGATAAGTTCATTTGTGTCATATTTCAGATTCTACACATGAGTGATATCACGCAGTGTCTGTCTTTCTCTATTTGACTTGTTTCACTAAGCATAATGTTCTCTGGGTCTCTCTATGTTGCTGCAAGTGGCATTATTTCCTTGTTATTTATGGCTGAGCAATATTCCATATATATACCACATATACACACCACATCTTCTTTACCCATTCCTTTGTCCATGGACATCTAGGCTGCTTCTGTGTCCTGGCTATCATGAACAGTGCTGCTGTGAACACTGGGGTGCACTTGTCTTTTTGAATTACACCAGCATCATAAAGCCTAAAATAATACCTGATGGAGAGGCTGCACTCAGCACCTGTAGGTCATTCCTGTCCCCTGGCTGCTGCGTCACAGAGCCAGGCTCAGTTTGCTGGAGGGGGTGTGGGGGAGACCTTCTGCACTCCTGCTGGGAATAGGAATTGCTGCAGCCTCTTTGGAGAACATGGAAGCACCTCAGAAAGCTAAACAAACAACTACCATATGACCCTGCAATCCCACTCCTGGGCATATATCTGGAGAAAAACGTAAAGATACACTACTATATTTTAAAATTTAGTTGAAAAGTATAAATTTGTTGACAGCCACAAATTACCAAAATAGAGTCAAGGAAAATTTTGAACTCAATCTAAATTTCCTTATATTAACAAAACAAAAAAAAAACAAAACTGGATTCACAAGTAATCCACCCTCTTTAATCTCTAGACCCAAGCGGAGTCACTTCATAAAATCCACGACACATTTTAATGTAGAAGTAAAATCAACTCTACACAATATTGTGTAGAAAGCAGAAGGTGAAAGAAGACTTCTCAATTTATGCAACTAATATTCCTCTAATACCCCAATTAAAAAAGAATTAAATCCAGTGCCGTGCCTCGAAGGTTTAACAGACGGCAGATGAAAAGGGTAGAATCAGCAACTCTTTGCGAGCCTTCCACCGGCCCCCAGGGCAGCTGATTGTTTCTCCGCCACTGCAGCCCCATTCTTGAGTTTAATACACTAGATGAATGACCATATTACATGAATTTAAGCCCCGCCCCCTGCAAAGTCTTTCTTAGGCTTCCCAGGTGCCTCAGCGGTACAGAATCTTCCTGGCAATGCAGGAGAAGTGGGGTTGATCCCTGGGTGGAGAAAATGCCCCCAGAGAAGGAAATGGCAACCCACTCCAGTCTTCTTGCCTGGGAAAGCCCATGGACAGAGGCCCCTGGCGGGCTAAACAACAGGAAATGGCCTTGTCACAAATGTTCCCAAATCTGGCCGAGTATTGAGTGGTCAGATGTGCAGCGTTTATGGTGTATACCCTGTATAAACGAACCTGTAACAAGTTGGAGAATGAAGGAATGACGTGGGAGGAGAAAGCCCTGAATTTACTGATTAAACGTAAAACATACAGGCAATGGCTTGGACATGGCAAAATCCTCCATTTGATCTTCAGTCACTTCTGGGGTTCCTATCCCTCCCGAAAATTCGTAACAGCATCTTCCCCTTACTTCCCCTGTGATCGCTGTGGGCTCTGACCCTGAACACCTGCGTCGGTTCCACTGCCCGGTGGGGCTCGGCGCGGCCGCTAGACGGCCTGGGGAGCTGTGCGCTGGAGCGCGGGGTGCACGGGTGCGTGTGTGCGCACGGCTGAAGCACGCGCATTTGATAAGGGACCTCGAGGAAGCTGGAGCACTTCTGGGAGAAAGACTGCTGGTGGCGCCCGGGCGGAAGGTGGCTTGGCAGGGCCGAGCATCAGCTGTGAGGTGGGTGGCTCCTCTGTGTGCCCGTCCGGTCTGTCCAGCGAGGACAGCTCCCACCTCAGCGTTGACCTTACTGGACAATGTCTGCTCGGTGAAGTCCTTAACATGTTTTCTGGCTGGTATGAGGCACGCAAAATGTCTCTTTTCCCCCAGAATATTAGGTGATTTGCTGTAGGTTAAAGTGGCGGGTACTAGCTGTGTCCTCTCCCCTCCTTCTTTCTCTCCACCTCATTACTTTGTTCCCTTGCGTTTCTCGCAGCCTTCACAGTATCCAGTTGTCAGTAATTCCATGGCCTCTGACTTACGAATGCATCCAACGCTGATGATTTCATGCCCCGTTACCGCGGCAGCCGGCATCTCGTGGTCATCGCTCCTGCGGTCAGTGCCCAGGCCTCCAGAGCAGCCCCTCCTGCCCTTCCGTTTGCCCTCCCAGCACACTGACAGGTGACCCTGGAACGTGCACATCAGCTAGTCACTTCTCCGCAGAAAGGCCCTTCCCCGCTCCAAACTGCAGGATGATCTACAGCTACTTTTGTGCAGCTCAGCTCAGAATATAGCAAACATGCAGGTGTTTTATGTGACGGTCTCCAGGGCCTCGATGGGCCCGCGGTGGTCACATCCCTGCCCTCACCTCCTGCCGCTGCTATCCCTGCTCCCCACCCGCTCCACCCTGCCGGCTTCCTGCAGCTCCTGGGTCTGCAGGCCCCTCCCTCAGGGCCCGGCTTGGGTTCCTGTCACCTGCGCGTTCCTTTGCTGTCTGTGGCCTCGGCCTCCTTCACAGAGGCTGCTGTCACCGTTTACAATATGCCCCGGCCCCGGCACTGTTTATCACCAGGCTTCATCTTTTCTCCAGAGCGCTAGTTCACTCTAACATGATATGCGTGCATGTGTGTGTTGTTTCAGTCGTGTCTGACTCTTTGCGACCTACGGACAGTAGCCCGCCAGTCTCCTCTGTCCCTGGAATTTTCCAGGCAAGAATACTGGAGGGGGTTGCCCTTTCCTTCTCCAGGGGATCTTCCTGACCCAGGGGTCGGACCTGGATCTCTGAAGTCTCCCGCATTGGCAGGCGGGTTCTTGGCCACTAGCACCACCTGGGAAGCTCGCTGTAAAAACAGGTGGTGGCTCGTTTTTCAGGACGTCATGAGACAGTATTTTCATTAGGGAAAATAGATATTGAGTAACATGTGAAGTAGCGAAACTTGTCAAGCTCAGAGCGGAGCCTTCAACTGCGTTGTCTAGTCAGCGTCTTAAACGCTCTCAGGAGGGGAGATGCAGCTTTGCAGATTCAGTCTTCGCAGGGTGCCTCCCCCCAGCCTGACAGCCGCTCATTCCTGTCTGCCAAAGACTCGCCCCAAAGGGGCTCCGTGGGCCGCACGGCCTGAACTCAGCTGGTGAGCAGGTGCTGTGCAAGCTGGAGCTGCAGGTGGGCCGAGTCGCAGCAGCTCCGTCAGCTCCACTTGAACTAAAAGTGCCGGGGCGGTTCCCTTTTCTTTCTTCCTTTCGCCTTCACCTAATTGTGTGCACTCAGGGCAAGACAGGAGGATGGCCAGCACTCTGCTTGCTGGAATGTGTTTTTAGCTTCTACCGCTTTTTCCTGCTGTGTAAAAACATACTTGCTGTTGAAGCCATGCTGTAGACCTGTATGAAGTGTGACTTAGAAGCTGTCTTAACTCTGCCCACCCTAATGCTCATCGTGTAAACACGAGGAAGATTTCATATTACTTTATAAAAACACCTGTGCGAGATGCTTTGTCACTGTGCAGTGGTAAGTAAATCTTTAAAAAACGTATTTACTTGTAGTGACATATAGTTGACTTACAATGTTGTATTTAGTTTCAAGTATACAGCAGAGTGATTCGTTATAGGTTGCTACAAGATATTAAGTAGAGTTCCCTGTGCTATACAGTAAACCATTGTTGTTTATCTATTTTATTTACTGTGGTATCTATCTGTTAATCCCAAACTCCTAATTTATCCCCTCACACCTTTCCCCTTTGATACCATATGTTTGTTTTCTATGTCTGTGAGTCTGTTTCTGTTTTCTATGTAGATTCATCTGTATTATTTTTAAGGATTCTATGTTTAAGTGATATCACATGGTATTTATCTTTCTCTGTGACTTCATTTGGTATGATAATATCTCTAAGTCCATCCATGTTGCTCCAAATGACATTATTTCATTTTTTTAATGGCTGAGCAATATTCCATTGTACATATATATGTATCGCATCTTCTTTATCCATCCTTTTGTCATGGGACATTTAAGTTGTCTTATATATAAAAGTGATGTCTTGGCTATTATATGTTGCTATGGACACTGGCATGCATGTATCTTTTCAAATTAGAGTTTTCTCTAGATGTACGCCCAGGAGTGGGATTACTGGATCATATGATAACTTTTTTTTTTTTTAAAGAATCTCCATACTGCTCTCCATTCGTCTGTCATTGGACATTTAGGTTGTCTTACATATAATAGTCACATCTTGGCTATCATATGCTGCTATGGACACTGGGATGCATGCCCAGGAGTGTGGTTACTGGATCATATGGTAACTGTTTTTAAGGAATCTCTATACTGCTCTCCATAGTGGCTGCACCAGTTTGTATGCTGGAGTATGACTTCAGGTGAATTTGCCTCCTCTAGGAACCACTGTCAGATTGCCCAGCCCTTCAGCTGGGACAGTCCCCCCGAGCCCAGGGGCATCTTGGGTCCCAGCCTCCATTGCACTGGGGAGAACTGCTTTGGGTCAGGGTCTAGAGTGACCGCATTCCTTACACTGACCAGGGTGTCAGCAGTGTTCCAAGGCTTCTCTCGTGTGTCTCAGGACTAGTGTCCCCAGCTTGTCTCTAATATAAAGTATCAAATTGTAAGAAGTATTTATGGAATGTGCCCAGAACTGTACCTTATTCAGCAGCTAAGAAAGTAATTTCCTCTCATCTTTATTATTTATGTAAATAAAAATCAATGATTGACATACAGGAAATCTATCAGCTCTCCCACAGGAAGGGAAAGCTAGCCTTGTCCAGGTGGAATAAGTCATTCTGAACATGAGCAGTGGGGGCGGTCAGGAAGCCATCCCCAGGGTCCAGCAGGGTCACTGGGGGCAGCCAGAGGAAAAAGTGAAGGAAAAGGGAAATTTAGGAAGTTTGTCAGTGTTTTTTTTTTTAACTGTTAAGTGTACCCTAATGGGATTTTTTCCCTCCTTTTTATTTGCAGGCAGAGTGGACTTCTGTGAATGCAGTTCCTGTTCTGTGTCAGACCCTGGCTGGACCTGGTCCCCGACTCCAGGAGGTGAAGGCTGAGGGGCGGGAGGTGAGGTCAGTCCACACACCTGGTGGAGAGGGAGGGGCAGGGAGCCGGTCTGTGCGTGACAGGAGAGGATGTGGTGTAGTCTTGGGGGTTGTGTCTGGGGCGGCCTGAGTGTGCAGGTCCCTGGGGGAGTGCACGGAGCCCTGGCCGGGTAGTTTGCAGACCTGCCAGACCTTCTCTTGATACAGTGGGCAGAGCAGGAGGTGGCCAGCCCAGCTTGAGGGTCAGAGTGCAGATGCTGGGGATGTGGTGAGAGGGGTGGGAGGATGGATTGAATTCAGTGCACAGATGGGTATTTTAGGGGGGAATCGAGATTAATGCTCCGGTATTAAAGCGAGACAGTGGAGATTTAGGTTTGGACTCCTCCTGCCTTCAGTTTAGGGAAACACAGTAAGGTCCTGGGTAGCAGCTTGGGGGGGGGGGCATTTCCACATCCATCTGGGTACCATGTGGCGATGCCCACATCAGGACCGTGTGAGCCAGGGACCCGCAGCAGTGAAAATGAGTAGGAGACTGGGTAACTGACCTGATGGGGTCTCTCAGAGCCGAGGGGCCCCACTAGGCTCCTCTGAGGGTCCTCAAGCTCCCTGGAGGCCTGGGGCCCTAGCACAGGGGATCTGCCCACTCTGAGACCTTGGGTGTGTGGTAAGGCCTCTTCCCTGGAGGATCCAGTGTCTGAGAAGGTGCAAATGCCTCATTCTTAGTTGTTTTCTTGGTCTGTTTTAGGGCCATTTTGTAGAGAGTGATAAAGTATTGCTTTTACCTAAGTTAACCTCATCTATGAAAAGCACAGATGTATGTAAACTTTTCGGATAAGAAGTTACTGAGAATGACCTCTCTTATGGCAGTATGCATATCACAGCAATACTGATACTGAAACTCGTATAGCTTTTACATCTCTTTCAAAGGAAAAATACTCCAGGTGTCATAGGAACATAAGAAAAGGAACAGTTTCACCTGGAAAAAAAAAACAACTGGTTTCCTACTACAGCTTAATTCAGCTAATTTCATGAGCAGTGGTGGCTTTTTAGACGTCATTCATTCTAAAGCAGAGAACGCCTTTGTTTTGTGTACTGTGGTTGTTCAGAGCCTGAGGTTGGAAGATGGAGTAAATCTTTAAGAACCAGTCTTAGAGAGAAAGAGTTATGATGGTATTTCATCGATAATGGTCAGTTGACAAAAAGGAATTGCTATTCCAGGTCCTTTTGGACTGAAGAATTTTCATTCTTAATCTATGGTTTAACTGCACAAAAAAGGAGAGAAATCCTTAATGGCACCTGCCTCGAAACCAGTGCATGATTATGTAAATTACTCTGGACGGTTCTATTGCCTGAAACTATTTTTGAGCACCATTCTTTTCTAATGGTCTCTAACTATAGCTTTGGGAAGAAAAGCTAGTGGGGAAGCCACTTGGATAGAGATGCGGGTGAGGACCTCAGGAGAACTGCAGGAAAAGATCTTATTTTGGGGCCTGGATCATTAGTTCCTGTGTGCCTTCCCTGGAGCTGAACCCGGGGTGTTCCCAGGCAGTGCCTAATTGGACCAGCTGGTGGTGTTGGGCTGGAAAGCTTCTACTTTATGAAGCTGAATGATTTCTAAGGAAGGGCTGGTGGGGTCACGCATCACGTACAGGCACTTCTGATGTGTCTCTTCCCCACATTCTGTGCAACACGTTTGAGGCGGAGGAACTGTCTCTGATGTTTGGTGACGTCAGACACCTTTGGGATCAGAGACTGGGGAGCGTACCAGACCCTGTTTAGAGGTGACTCAGAAGTTTGCCTGGAAACGGGAGGGGTTGGGGGGACTCACCCGGCCGAAGGCACCCAGGTAAGCCTCGGCGATCAGCAGCCTCTGGGTGTTGCAGCGCTGGGTCAGAATGTCGATCAGCAGGTCCTTGTCACAGCCTGCAAGAGAGGTGTGTTGGAGAGGCAGGGAGTGCTGTGAGTGCCGCACTGCAGGAAGGGAGAGCCCACGGTGCAGGGGTCAGGCCGGTGGGCCAGCTCGTCCCCTGCTGCTCCCAGTGGAGGGAGGAGGCCCAGCTTGAGTGGAAGGGTCCCGGTACCCCTGCTGTGGCCGAGGGGCCTCTGTCTCCCCCTCTCCTGGTGCTACAGACTTTTCTTTTAAAAGATGCAATAAAAATAGAGGGAAGGAGAGAACGTGGCCTTTCTTCCATCTCCCTCCTACCCCAGCAGCAAAAGGCTTCCCTGAACTCCACACTGATCTGGTTTGAACAGACCCCATGTCCTTCTCACCACACAGCTCTGAATGACTTACAACAGATGTGCATTGGTCCTGCTGACAGCAGGTGAGACCACCAGGGTCCTTGTCGTTTTTGGAGAAAGAATTCCCCACAGAAACGGGGTGAAGCAGACGCAGTTTATTGGCAGCACAGTTCGTGCAAAGGGAACAAAGAAGCAGTTCATATAGAGCAGGAGCAAAGCAGAAACACAGACCCGGAGAAGAGAGCAGGCAAAGTCCCTAACAAGTGTGCCCGAGACGTGATTTAAACCACTGGTGTGGGGCCCTTCTTCCAGGGCTCTGTTCTGCTCTGGCCAGTTATTGCACCTCTTTCCCCACATCTGACTTGTCCCAGGGCCCTCCCCATATACATGCTCATCTTTTAGCCAAGATGGATTGTAGCACAGAAGACTGGGAGGTTTGACAGCACTTATTATGATGTGAGAGCTGGACCATAAAGAAGGATGGGTATGAAGAATTAATGCTTTTGAACTGTGGTGCTGCAGAAGACTCTTAAGAGTCCCTTGGAGAGCACAGAGATCAAACTAGTCAATCCTAAAGGAAATCAACCTTGAATATTCATTGGAAGGGCTGATGCTGGAGCTGAAGCTCCAATACTTTGGCCACCTGATGCAAAGAGTCAACTCATTGAAAAAGACCCTGATGCTGCGAAAGATTGAAGGCAGGAGGAGAAGGGGACGACAGAGGATGAGATGGTTGGGTGGCATCACTGACCCAATGGACGTGAGTTTGAGTAAGCTCCAGGAATTGGTGAGGGACAAGGAAGCCTGGCGTGCTGTAGTCCTTGGGGTCGCGAAGAGTCGAACGTGACCGAGTGACTGAACAACAGCCTTATGTGATGGTGCCCCCTCCCTCTGTGACCCCTGAGGAGCCTTCTTGCACACTTGCGCCTGGTGGGGTGGGGTCTAGTCTCGCTGACCTCAGGAGTGACAGATGTGCTTGTCCTCTCACTTACCCCTGCAGAGCTCAGCTCCTGCCACTGACTCTGTCCGTGCAGTATCAGGGAAGACTCAGCTCCAGTTTAATCCACCTGACAAACCCCAGCTGCTCTGCTCAGGGGCCCGTCTGCCCCTTACTCAGTGCAGACCCTGCAGAGGAGGAGGAGCCTTGGGCGAGGGAACTGTGAGAGGAGGGAACCAGCCCCCTGCTTGTAACAGAGGCCCTGTCCCTCGGCTCTGGGGCCAGCACTTCCTCCTCCACCAGCCCATCGACCTGGTCAAATGCCTGGGTGCACAATCGCTGCAGGGAGATTCAGCTATAATTGTGGTCATAAAGAACAGCCTGCACACACCCCCCCCCCAAAAAAAAAACAAAAACAGCCTGCCAGTGCAGGAGACATAAAAGATACAGGTTCGATCCCTGGGTTAGAAAGATCTCCTGGAGAAGGAAATGGTAACCCACTCCAGTTTTCTTGCCTGGAGAATCCATGGACAGAGGAGCCTGGCGGGCTGCAGTTCATGGGGTTGCAAAGAGTCGGACACGACTGGGCAGATTAGCATGCACACATGCAGTCACCTAGTGACCAGGAAGACCTCAGCCGCCCCTCAGCTTGACCAATATTTAGATAAACTTCTCCTTATCATAAGCCTTTGATCTCTTTTCTTTTTCTGAGAGCATTTACTTTGGAAAACTTGTGGTTGTAAATTCTTTCTTTACTCCTTTGAGATGTAAATCTTCTCCCAGCCACTTCCTAGAAGGCTAGAAATGCCTTCCTCGAGGGCTTAGGATCCACCCCTTTAAGCTGAGTAAGACACTTGCTGTCCCAGGGCTCTGTGGCAGGCGGAACCCTCAGTACCAGTGGGCAGACTCAGATGTCCTCATTGCGTTGGCTGGGTCCCCACCCTGTGTCCTCTGAACTACTCGCTAGCTCAGCCCAGGGCTCAGACCTCGCCTGCCTCTGTCCCAGAGCAGCTGGGGTCAGTCTCTCTCCTTTTGTAAGCGCATCCTGGCCTGTTGAGTTGTGTGCGGTACAGTTTTTCTCTGACACATTATGGAGATGAGTAGAAAAGCGAGTTGAAGCACTAAGATGTTAAGCAGATCATATTTGGGGGATTTAAAGCCATCCTGGAAATGTTGGGCTCATAGGAAGGCAATGAGTTGGGTGTGGAAACATGCAGTGAGTAAGGGTGAGGATTGGGTAAAGGTGGATGAGTGTATCTCTGAAGACCCAGTGTGGGGCAGGGTGTCTATTCATGTGAGACAGATGGTCTGGCAGCTGCAGAGTGGAGGTGGGGAGACAGAGAATCTTCTCCAAAGACTGGAATTTCAGATTTGTGACAAAAAAGGTAGACTTCAGTGAAGTGGAACCGAGCAGAAGGGTGCCCAGGCTCTGGGGTTAAGTCCTTGACCCAAGGGACACGAGATGGTTCCAGAGGAGTCTGTTGACTGTGTGATCCAAAATGAAGGTAGTTTTAATAATAAGTAGAAGGCTTTTTGGTATAGACCATCTGGTGATGTCCATGTGTAGAGTTGTCTCTAGTGTTGTTGGAAGAGGGCATTTACTATGACCAGTGTGCTCTCTTGGCAAAACTCTGTTAGTTTCATTTTGTACTCCAAGGCCAAACTTGCCTGTTACTCCAAGTATCTCTTGACGTCCTACTTTTGCATTCTAGTCCCCTATGATGAAAAGTATATCTTTTTTTTTTTGGCATTAGTTCTAGAAGGTCTTGTAGGTCTTCATAGACTTCAGCCTCTTTGGCATTAGTGTTCAGTGCATAGACTTGTATTACTGTGATATTGAATTGTTTACCTTGGAAATGAACAGAGATCATTTTGTAGTTTTTGAGATTGTACCCAAGTGCTGCATTTTGGACTCATTTGATGACTGTGAGGGCTACTCCATTTCTCCTAAGGGATTTTTGTCCACAGTAGTAAAATGATCGTTATCTGAATTAAATTCACGCATTCCAGTCCGTTTTAGTTCACTGATTCTTAAAATAACCCTGTTGGGCCTTACGAAGTGTTACTATGAACAAAGCTAGTGGAGGTGATGGAATTCCAGCTGAGCTATTTCAAATCCTAAAAGATGATGCTGTGAAAGTGTTGTACTCAATATGCCAGCAAATTTGGAAAACAGCAGTGGCCACAGACTGGAAAAGGTCAGTTTTCATTCCAATTGCAAAGAAGGTCAATGCCAAAGTGTGTTCAAACTACCGCACAATTGCACTTATTTCACGTGCTAACAAGGTTATGCTCAAAATTCTGCAAGCTAAGCTTCACATAGTGACCCTAGAACTCCCAGGTGTTTCAGCTGGATTTAGAAAAGGCAGGGGAACCAGGTATCAAATTGCCAACATCCATTGGATCATAGAAAAGCAAGAGAATTCCAGAAAAACATCTATTTCTGCTTTATTGACTATGCCAAAGCCTTTGCCTGTGTGGCTCACAACAAACTGTGGAAAATTCTTAAAGAGATGGGAGTATCAGATCTCCTTACCTGCCTCCTGAGAAACTTGTATGCAGGTCAAGAAGTAACGGTTACAACTGGACATAGAACAACAGACTGGTTCCAAATTGGGAAAGGAGTGTATCAAGGCTGTATATTGTCACCCTGCTTATTTAACTTAAATGCAGAGTTCAGTTCAGCCCTTAGTTGTGTCTGACTCTTGGCGACCCCATGGACTGCAGCACACCAGGCCTCCCTGTCCATCACCAACTCCCAGACCTTGCTTAAATGCATGTCCGTCGAGTTGGTGATGCCATCCAACCATCTCATCCTCTGTCGTCTGCTTCTCCACCTGCTTTCAATCTTTCCCAGCATCAGGGTCTTTTCCAATAAGTCAGTTCTTTGCATCTGGTGGCCAAAGTATTGGAGCTTCATCTTCAGTATCAGTCCTTCCAATGAATATTCAGAACTGATTTCCTTGAGACAGAGTATATCATGCAAAATGCCAGGCTGGATGAAGCACAAGCTAAAATAAAGACTGCTGGGAGGAATATCAATAACCGCATATATGCAGATGATACCACCCTTATGGTGGAAATGGAAGAGGAACTAAAGAGCCTCTTGATGAAGGTGAAACAAGAGAGTGAAAAAGCTGGCTTAAAACTCAACATTCAGAAAACTAAGATCATGTCATCTGGTCCCATCACTTCATGGCAAATAGATGGGGAAACAGTGGAAACAGTGGCTGACTTCATTTTCTTGGGCTCAAAAATCACTGCTTATGGTGACTGCAGCCATGAAATTAAAAGATGGTTGCTCCTTGGAAGAAAAGCTATGACAAGCCTAGACAGCATGTTAAAAAGCAGAGACATTACTTTGCCAACAGAGGTCCATCTAGTCAAAGCTGTGGTCTTTCCATTGGTCATGTACGGATGTGAGAGTTGGACTATAAGGAGGGCTAAGCACTGAAGAATTGAAGCTCTTGAACTGTGGTGTTGAAAAGACTCTTGTGAGTCCCTTGGACTGCAAGGAGATCAATCCAGTCAATCCTAAAGGAAATCAATCCTGAATATTCATTGGAAGGACTGATGCTGAAGCTCCAAAACTTTGGCCACCTGATGTGAAGAGCAGACTCATTGGAAAAGATCTTGATGCTGGGAAAGATTGACAGCAGGAGGAGAAGGGAACAACAGAGAATGAGATGGTTGGATGACATCACTGATTCAATGGACATGAGTTTGAGCAAGCTCCAGGAGATGG